GCATCCTCATTTGGTAGAGGCGTAAGCAAAGACAGAGAAGTCTGATAATCTGCCCAAGATGACAGCTAACAAATGGCAAGGTCAGAGGTTAAGCCCAGTTTCACTCACTAGCAAAGCCCATGCTTTTTTTCACTTTGCCAGGCGACCCCTGTTCAGGAAACATGCCAACGGAAGGCCAATCCAGGAGAACGGCTCAGTGTCCCCCTTCTAAGAATGCCATGATTGTGCCCTCCCCGTGTTCCCAAAGGACAGCAGCAGACACTTTAGAAGACACTGCACGTAGGTGTGGCACAGAGCCTACTGAGGGGTGGGGTCAAAACTGAGCTTTCTTGAAGCAACATCCCAAAAGGAAAGTTGCTCGCCTCATTTTCCTGACTCTGAACCCCAGATTCTGGACAGCAATTACCAGAGTCGGGACATCCATTTCACTTGTCATCCATGACCAGTACTCAGCAGGGGGCCTTAGCCCTCACTGTTACTAGGATAACCAAAGGGTTGGTTGAGCGTGATTGAATCTGTACTATAGATGGGAAGTTTGTACTGTTCACTGTATTCAAATATAACTGTATACAACAAGCTTCAGTGACAGGAGCTTTGATCTTCATTTTCATGTCTCTTCTCAGGAGGGCTGGGTGGAAATTCTTCCTGATCCGGACTAGGGGAACCACCCTTCTATGGGGCCCTCGCTTTCTTTCACCACCAAGTTCTGCTGCCTCTTCTGGGCCACTGCTCTCCCTGCCCCTGCCCCCTGAGACTTGCCACCCTGGTAAAGCCACAGTCACCATTACTTAGAGTAGCTAAGAGCTGCTGTCTTTCTCTCTGCTAGAATCGGAGTCATCTGAGGGTGGGATGGTTCACCCCATCTACACAGGGCCTTATGTAGTAGGTGCCAAATAAATAGTTACCAAGTGTAGCATTTGCAGATCATTTCAATAATCATGCTCTGAAAAAAAGCCCTTTCCACACCAAAGACAAAACCATCCTGTTTGCATAACAGATGACTACAAAGGGAAAAAGGCAAGTGTTAGCCCACCACGACATTTTGTAAGAACTTACCCATTCTCTCTGCTCTCTCTCTCTCTCTCTCTCTCCCCCTCACTTCCTTCCTGTCTTCCATCAGCGAACGTTCAGGGGCTCCTACTCAAGTATCAAGCTCTAAAGATATAGAAATAAAAACTACAGGCTTCTGGCTTAGCGGGCAAACCAGAGAGAAAACATTTTCCCATGCAGCCTAAGAGGTGTATAGTAGCTGTACACAAATGCTGAGGGAACGGAGAAGTGGCTTGCCATGTAGAGAGGTGGGGAAAGTTTTCGCGGGAGTGCCCTTGGGGGATGAATTGAGAAGGAGGAGGGAGACTCACAGGCAGAGAGACCAGTGGGTACAAAAGCATGAAAGCCAGAGAGCAATTTGAGTGGACTGGACTGTAGGTGGGAGGAAGGGTTTGGGAGCACAGCTGAAAATGTAGGTGGGCACCTGAGTGCGCTAGAAGGAGTCACACTGCAGTCTGCAGGCAATGGGGTCCTGGGAGCGGTGGGCATTTGAACAGAATCTTGAAGAACAAGAAGGAGTTAATTAAGACGGATATACTCTGCTTGAGATCAGTACCTGTATCTTATCCTCCTAACCCAGCAACTGGCCCCTTCTAGAGATATTCCATAAATATTTATTGAGTGAATGAATGAACTGCTCACCTCAGTACTTCTCAAACTTTAGTGCATATCAGAATCACCTGGAGAGCTTTTCAAAACAAGATTGCTGAATCAGTAGATCTGAGAATGGGCCTATGAAACTGCATCTCTAACAAGCTTCCGGGAGCTGCTGATGCTGGGGGTCCACAGGCCACACCTAAAGTAGGACTGGTTTCCAGTGTCATGCACAGAAGTCAGAAAATACTGAGATGTAAATATTTTGAGGAGACCCGGGACCAGGAGATTAATATTATCTTACATGTGTATATTGTTTTATAGTTTCCAAAATATTTTAATTTATCTGATTTGATCCTTGCAATTATATGATGCTATTACCCCTGAAATAAAAATTAATTTCTCAAGAAACCACAGAGGGTAAAATATGGAGTTGGGGAATAAATCCAGGTCCTCTGACTCTGTGGAGCTCTGTCTTCCACACTGAACACAAAGAATTTTGAGAATAAAGTAAATACTAAGATAACTATTCCTTCATGGCAGGTAATTTTCAGTGTCATCTTCCTAGCAGTGTTTTTGAGAAATGAAGAAAGTTCTGGGATTATAATTCACTTTAAGTAAAACGTAGGTATATACTTGGTTTGATAATAATAATAAATCATTATTACTATTATTAAGTAAAGAGCACACCACAATATTATTTGAACGATCATGTATTATACAGCACGTAAGAGCATGAACTCTGGAGACTGACCTACGTTCTAACCCCAGTTCTGCCGTCTATTAGCTATATGATCTTTGACACGTTACGTAACCTCTCTTGATTCAATTTCTTTAACTATGAAAGGATATATAAAAAGAAAAATAGTATTTAATCATAGAATTTTTATAAGAAGTAAATGAATCGATATACCTAAAGTGCTTTGAAGAGTGTGTGGCACACTTAGTAAGCTGTATACATATGTACGTGTATATATATGCATATTATATTTTATATCATTATTATTATCATGTGCCCTGGAAACATGCAGCCTTCAGGCTGGGGCCAGGTGGGATCTTTGGAGGCCTTAATTCAGACCAGGAGTCCTGGGTAAGGAGAATCAGTTTTCTGATCTAGAATTCTTTCTCGAAAACAAGATAGAATCCCTCCGGTGGGGAGATGGGAGACCAAGTGTCCTCAAAAGGAAGGTCAGGGACGAATTCACAGAGCATCTCAGACCCAGCCCTTGTCTTGGAGGCAGGAAAAGCCCAGAGGCCCCTCGGGGAGCAGATCCGGGGGAGCCAGAAGGAGCAAGCTGGGAAATCCCAGGTATTGTAGTTCCTGCCGGGGAGCACCGCGATTTGCTGCCACTCGCACCCCTCCCTGATAGGCACACATGGCTGGGTCATCCAGGTTTATGACTGGGTTACAGTATCATTCCCAAGAAGGCACCGGAGATAAAGGTTAGACAGCTGGAGAACGCAGCACTGTGACCGATGCTGCCACCAAGGGCTGAGGCGTGTGTGGCATCAACGCCAGGGTGCCGGGTTTTGGAAGTTCCTTCCCCGGGTTATGGAAGTTCCTTCCCCGGGTTATCTGACCCCGTGCACTCGCTTTGTCCTGGGGACTTTTTCTGACGGTGCCTGATTCGCAAAACCTTTCTGTTGTCAGTGCCTCTCCAGCACAGGTTTCTCATTCGTGGCTTTCCTAATGGTTGTGTGTGCTGCCCCCCTCAGGAAACCCATGGCTCATCAGTCATAGAACTAGGGACACAATTTACCAAACCATGAGTTCCTCTCCTCAGAAGCCCGACTTGGTTCAGTAATACATCTTAAGATCACGGCGTGAGAACAATTCAGCAGTAACACGGCAACAGAACCTCTTAAACCGGGGAGACCAGACTCCCACCAAAGAACCTATCGATAGAATAGAAATCTCGTGGCATCTGTAGGAATAATTTCTAGACCCAGCTTCTACGCGGCATGAGACACACAAACACTTGGAATATGAAGGGCCCGCTCTAGTCCAGCCTCCTCTCACGAGACTATTTTAGTCAATTATTGAAAAGAACACAAGAAATAGGTACTCTGGTGGAAGGATAAGCTGCACTGTTTATATAGGTAAATTTATAAAAGAAATCTCATTGACACACAGCCTGAATTTATAAAATATCTAAAACTGACTCATATACAACATAATACAAATTTTAGCTGTGTTCTAATTTTCACTTCTATAATATTCTATCAGAATATTAACCAAAATGATACTTTAAGATTATGATAATTTTTAAACATAAACTCCATGAAAATTCTGCTAAAACTATATTTTTAAATTGCTAAGACAAAAGTCTGAGATCTGAGTACCCTCAATTCCACAGGATACTGACTCACTGAGGAAAATAAATACATTCCCGTCTAATACCACATAAACTGAAATAAATACAAACCGCTTTTTTGCATAATAATAATTTTAGGGAAATAAAAATGCTGTTCATATTTAACATACCAATCACTATCTTACATGTCATTGGGGTAAAATAGATGCAATACTAAGAATAGAAATTTGGTAAAATGATGATCTTATACAATGAGATTGTTCCTGAAATGTTTTAACTACTTTCTTATAATATAATGTTTCCCTTGGCTTTTTAAAATTAGCCTTATTGATAAAAATAAAATTTATATACCATAAAGTCAACCCATTGTAAGTGTACAGTTCAACAAGTTTTTGTGAATTTATAGAGCTGTGCAACCATCACTACAATCTAATTTTGGAACACTTCCATCGCTCTAAGAAAACCTCTTTTCTATTTATAATCACTCTTTATTCCCACTCCTTGTTCTAGGCAACCATTAATCTACTTCCTGTCTCTATATATAATTTGCCTAATTTGAATATTTCACATATATAAAAAAACAGTAAATGTTCTTTGTGACTCACTTATTTCACTGACCATAATATTTGTGAGATTCATCCATGTTGTAGCTTGTATCTGTGCTTCATTATTGTATGGATGTGCCACATTTTGTTTACCCATTCATCAATTGATGAGCATTTGGGTGATCTCCACTTTTTGGCTATTGTAAATAATACTGCTATGAACATTCATGTACAAGTTTTTGTGTGTACATATGTTTTCATTTCTTTTGTTTGAATACCTAAGAATGAAATTTCTAGGTCATATGATAAGTCTGTGTTTGGCTTTTTAAGAAACTACCAAACTGTTTCTGAAAAGTTGTACCATTTTACATTCCATCAGAAATTTAGGAAGGCACCAGTTTCTCCACATCCTTGCCAACACTTGGTATTGCTATTCTTTTTTATTCTAGCCACCCCCAATAGGTATCTCATTGTGGTTTTGATTTGTATTTCTCTTTCAATTTTTAAATCCTTAAATTCATCCATTGTCAACATTTAAAACTTATTAATGCTTTTTTGTCATCGCACTTCCATTGTAAATTCAACTACTCAGTTTCCTTGAAATGGTAGTAACTAAAAAAATGTATACATATCAATAGGCTACTTGTAAACAAAAGATTCACTCAATCAAAGAAGCCTAGGAATATTAAGCCATGCTATCACAGGCTACAGGTACTAAGAAAAATAAATTAAAATGAAATAAGGAAGATTAGTTTTATAACCCAGTTTTAAATCTCATTACGAATAAGGAAATAAAAAGGTAATAGAAAAAGATTGGTTTGGAATCAGGGAAAATTCAGCCAATATAATTGAATGTACTGTTGTTCCTACGAGGCTTGTCCATGTCTTTCTGCGAATGACATACTTACTTTTCATAGGCATGCCTTCTGTTGATTACTTTAGATTACTTTTGTGGAGCACTATGTGCCAGGAACTCTGTGTGTGTGTGTGTGTGTGTGTGTGTGTGTGTGTGTGTGTGCATTTTTTAAATGTTAACAAGTCCATGTGGAATAAACTTTCGTAATCCCCATGCAACAGATGATGAAACAGGTTTACAGAGAGTAAGTGACTTGACCAAAGTCACACAGCAGCCAAACCAGCTGACCCATCACGGGCTGCAGGGCTGCACTCCCGTTGCTAAGCCTTATTGGCAACCAGCCACGTGGCTCTCCAGACCCCATCCCACTTGTACAACTCTTCACTGTCTTGTGTCTCCTTCTCTTGCTTTTTACATTATGTGTATGAATGTGTTTCTCAGCCCCGGTTTTGTCCTCTCATCCATGCCATCGTCTTTGCTCAGGATATCAGTTGTCACCCTTTGGGGGCAGCTCCCCACATGTGTGATGAAGCACAGGTGAGAGCCCCCTGGCCACACGCGGGTGTCCAGGAAGCAGGCGGTGGCCCAGCGACCAGGTCTGGGGCAAAACGCATTCCCGTTACTTGGCAGCTCTCTCCCGTCTAAGAAAGCAAGTGAGCAAGAGGCGGATTATAAGAATAGCTTCAAACCCATTCTAATTTGTAACAAATAAAATTAAATAAGTAAAACCAGTGCCAACTTTTATGTCTTAAACTATTGTTAATATAAAAACCTACCCACACTAGTAGTGTGTCACAGCACGATGGCGGAGTGTGAATGGAGGCACTATGAATTGCCAAAGGCTACCAATTTTGGTCTATAAATAATGCATCATAAACATGAGTCACACATACTTTTTCTTCATTAGTCCACATGATTCTATCACATGCTCTCAGAGCAATAATTTAAATTTACAGTTATAATTACACATAGATTCGTTTTACATTTTACGATGTCTATTTTTCATGGTGAGTGTTAATACCAAAACATTTGACAAAAGCAGTCATAAAAATCAATCAATTATGTACCGAAAATGAAAGAAGTGGTTAGACTGGGTTTTCTACTGTATTGTGTGTACTTTCTGTTTTAGAGGTGATGAGGTCAACTCAATATTACATGTGTGATCACTTAATAATCCTTTTGACAATGATGATGATGATGATGATGATGATGATGATGATATAGAATGTAAATTGCAATTAGAGTCCATAATGTAGTAATTAATCCAAGGAAATCCAAAGACCTCGTTGTTAACTCTTGTATGAGACAGACTTTCTCTGTGATTTTTTTCATAAATTGTTTAGACTTTCTGTACTTCAAATTCAGTAATCGTAAACGACTATAGCATTAAGCATGCTACTTAGCATAGATGTTTGTTTCAACAAAATATGCCGACCTCAGCAGAGCTCCCCAGTGATTGAGAAAAGTTCCTCCTAAAACTGTAATAAAATGCCTAATGCTCTCTTATTAAGTACTCTTAGCTCAAAGCCAGAAAGGGCAAGGGAGGCCTCTAACACACGAAGTCCTTTCCCAAAGCTCATACACTTTATTCAAAGACAGTCTGTTTCTCTTATTTCAGACCATCTGAAAAGGCTTAGCTGTGCATTTTACAGCCCACAAACTGTTCAACAAACACTTAATGTACATTAAAGATGCAGACCTTAGACAGGCTGCTATAGATGACACAAACCAGAAAAAGGGGGAATGGTTCAATTCCTGCCTTTAAGGAGCTCACGGTGCAGAGGACAGGATATGCCAAACACTCAAGTCACTATATTAGGCAACATAAAAGGAAATGCCACAGAATAGGCATATGTAAAATGACAGGGGTCGAAAGAAGAGAGGAATTCATCCAGTTGGGCTAAGGGAAGACTTCACAGAAGAGGTGCTACTTGGGCTTGAAAGATGGTTCCGAATTTCAGGTAGAATGTAAGGCACAAGCAGGCACAGAGGCAGAGAAGCACAAAATATGTTTAGGGAACAGCAAGTTGTCATTTAGCTTCTTGGCCGTAGTAAGTGAAGAGAGGGTTAAAGCTATAAAAATAGCTGGTTGCAATGAACAGAAAGTTACCATAAGAAAATTCACCCTAGAGTTATATCAAGACAAAAATGAAGACCAGTGGACCTGTGGGGACTGGAATGAGAAAGTTAGAAATGAAGGCCCCTACCCCCACTTCTCACAGGGCCCACAGTCCCGTGTCTTTCTGCCTGGTTCTCTCTGCATGTCTATTTCATTCTCCTCCCTGCTGAACCAATTCATCTGAGTGAAGAACTCCAGCATGTATGTGGCATCGGTTTGCGTCATGCAATAAATTTATAAGACTGTCTAGGTCAAGTCCTGGGTTGATTAGCAGCAGGTCCGGCTGCAGTATACAAGCTTGTTTCTCTGTCACAGTCAAGACATTCAGGCATGGAGTGTCATGGTGTTAGGACCCAGCTCCTTCTATCTCGTTGCTCTATCATGAATGGTTTTCATTCCATGACTCCCTCATGCTCCAGGGTGCCATCCAAGCTCCAGCTATCCATCCACCTTTCAGCCAGCAGAAAGGAGAAAGTGGAGAAGAGCACACTCTCCTGAGAGAACTTTCTGGAAGTTGCACATATCTGCTTATTTCAGGTGACCATGTCATATGTCATCTAAAGTGTGAGAGTGAAAGAGATTATTTTATATATATATATATTCAATTGACCAGAATGTGGATTTATGGCCACCCACCTGTTAGGGAGGCTATACACACAGTCTTCATTCTGGACAGCTATGTGCCCAGCTAAAACCTGGCAAAGAAGAGGATGGATAACCAATTAATACATCTGCCACAAGTGCTTTCTGACACCCAGAAAACCTCCCACTTTGAATTTGCAAGTTGTCATCATCTGTGGACTGGTTTCCTGAAGGTCAGGCTTCTACCCTGGTCCAATCAGCTGTGAACAAGAAGAGGGCATGGGGGCAGGGCTTTGGGGCTGTAGGGCTCCCCTTTCAGGGACCGTGTACAGGAGCAGAGGCCGAGAAAGGGGTCTGGGCAGAACAAACTGACGGACTTGTCAAGAACAATAGGCTATAGATAGGTTGCAGAGGGCGATAAATGCTAGTATGGAAAAATCACAACCAATTCAATTCAGCAGGCCATGGAAACTGCTAAAAGTTTGTTTTAGCAAGGAAATGGTATGAATGGAACTCTATTGAAACAAGGTTATCCTGGTCATGGTGTGTTGACTGATTTGGAATAAGGTGAGATGGAGAGCTAAAAGTCCCCTTGAAATTTAGAAACCTGGGATAACTCTTAAAGCTAGGTAGACAATTATTGCAAAAAGAAAGAGTAGTTTATGGTATAATGGCAAAAGAGGAGTAAGAAAATCTATAAAAAGTAGAATTACAAATTCAAAAACTATGATAGTTTGGGTCATATAGTATAAGTGGCATTTAATACAGGTGTGACTGTATTATATACCGCCATATAATATTGTACAGTCATAATGATACTCTTGTTCTCTAAAAAATATTCATTATACTATGTTTCAGAAAGCAATAAAGTTTGTAATACAGTATATAAAATATGTGTATTCAACATGGTAAGATGTTTTGTGTTCATTTGAGAGGTAGGCTTAGGTACCCAAAACATTCTCTTATACAAAACATCTTATTTCCCAAATAATAATGAAATGAGTCTTCACTATCCCTGAAACAAACATGTCAAATGTGTATCATAGCACAGCACTTAAATGTGTAGATTACGTTGACCTTGCTGACCAGATAGAAAACATGCCTCATGGAAATATAAGTTTAGCATCTAAAACCTCAGCTAAATGAATGTATAAACTCATTCAAAAAAAGGTGAGCCTCTTATTTATTGTAGAAATGCAGCTAAATGATACATGAGGACTTCGTATGATGCAAAACACTTGACATTGTCCTATGTAATCATACCTATCGGAAGGGGTGAATGTTCAATTGTTAAGCTAGGGTTTACATGGCTCTCTTTTGAAAGGACAATTTCCATAACAGTTTAGTCCTTGAACAGAAAATGTGGGGTAGTAACTAACATAATGATAAGACCATAAAGGAGGGCCGGCCGAGTGGCACATTGGTTAAGAGCTGGCTTGGGACGCCAGAGGGCCCCGGTTCGGATCCCACATATGAGGGCCAGTGACACTGCCCTCTACAGCTAAGATGCTGAACAACATCTCGACCTGGAGCTGGGTTGCCTTGAGTCGCTGGCGATGGGGTAGGCTGCAGCCCCTGTGGCAGTGGGTTGCCATGGGCTACCGTGTGTAGCCAGCAGCCAGCGTGAGCAGCCAGCAGCCGCTGTGAGCAGACGTCCAGAAGCCGGCGACTGATCTGCCTCGCCCAGGTAGAGCACAATGATGGTGCCAACTTGGGCCAGTGAAGCAGCGTCCTCCACAACTAGACTGAGGAACAAAAGGACAGCAACTTGTCTGTTCCCCTACCCCCAATTCCCCAGCTCTGTTCCCATCCCCCAATTCCCCAATAAAAATCTTAAAAAAAAAAAAAAGAACATAAAGGACATATGCAGAAATCTGTGACCATCTTCTTTGCTTACATAGAAATGCAAGAAACAACCGGTTCTGTCCTGTATTGTACTCTAAATTTAAAGAAATACACATAGGGGAAGCTTAAGAGAAGGCCTCTTTGGTAATTTTGAATAACAAATGGGAAAGCTATGCTAGAATGGTTGAAAGTGAACTACACAAAAGAAGCTTCTGGAAATTTGAACCCCTGCATGGGGGATTTTTTTCAACATCTCTCACAGCTTATTTTTTACTTAGCCAAGCAGGGAGTCTATTTTAAAGCTCCCAATTTGAAAATCATGGAAGCTTTATAAAGTCCCCCACCTGCACCTCTTTTTAGGAGCACAGTCCTTTATTCTCTAAAGGATGAAAACCTCTAGCCTATAAAAACTTTGTTAAGCTGTCACTATCAATAGCGTAAAAAAAAATAATAATAATGGTTGACAAAGAAGAAACAAATTGCATCTTCGAATCAGTTTTCTTTAAGCTCTTGTTAAAAGCTATAACCTCTGATGTTAACTAAATTTAACCTATTCTGACCTTCGCGGTGGCCCTTGACCTTTTCTTTCTTCTGCTTCCTGTGGCTGCTGCAGACAACTGGCCCAGTCCTTGGAAAAGCCTTCTCTGTGGCACACAAAGGCCCAGCCTTCCTGCTACCCGAGGGGTCAGCACCTGTACAGAGGAGCAGGTGACAGTGGACGGCCTGCCTCCTAGAGCAAGTTGTTAGGGTGTCTACTCTTCAACCATCATGCTGCTGTTTCAGGCATTCAAGCCACTGAAGTTCAGGTTTTCTTTGTGAAGGCAGTCTTTAAACAAATCAATCTATTGCTGTTCAACTGACTGTAAAATTAGTAGATTTACTGTTGCAAAAAAAAAAGAAAGAAAGAAAACTGAGAGCTTTCACTTCCACTTTGGTAAGGTCATGGATGCATCCTAGGCTGCCAACAAAATAGTCTTTAAAATCTTTGTAGCAACTTTCGGGGATGGAGGGAAAGCAATCAAATGATGACTAAAACGTACAGTGGAAAGTCTTCCCTATACAGTAAGCTTGTAAAACTCCACATTGAGGGACTTTCCGAAATGGAATAATTTGCCTTTAATTCCATTTCCCTCAAAGATGGAAAACAGTGAAAGTACAAATTTGTTTTATCACTGACATTATATTTTGTTGTCAGTCCTGCCTTCCTTAAATATCCTTGTGACTCAAAGATCTCATATGGGTATTTAAAAACATTACTGGATTTTATTTAAAATGTAAAATGCTGATAACTTGGTCTTGTTTTGCTTTGATTTGCACAGTAGTAAACATTGTATATTTTGCAAGGTTTCCTGCACTAGCTTTTTATATTTCTGCATGATGTCTTATGATGGTAATGGAAATCACTTTCACTAAGAGTTTCAAAATGACCAAAGTTAACTGAATCACCCCAATACTTGGTACCTTTGAAATGGAAACACATGGCTCTGCTGTTTTTTTGAACCTATTTTCTGCTTTATTCAGTTGCACCAGATTTTTCACAGATAAACACTCTTTTATCTTCATGTATGCTTTTATTTAGCAGTCATAAAGCATCTTAAAAAATTCATTACAATATATCCTTCATTTTAGACAAATTTAGTTTGCTAACTCACAACTACCACATTTTAATAATTGGTGCCATCACTTTTTGGCAAGAGAAATGATTAAATCTTGTGTGATGGGAAATCTTACACATGATAAATTTATTCTGAATCTAAGAACGGCTTGAGAGTTCATGTAGGGTTTTAACTCAGGTGTGGTCATCACCTATTCTCCAGCTGTTCTGTGGAAGCAGCATTAAGTAGCCATATGATGGTCTAGGTTACTTAAAGGAAAAATTCCCTAAGTCCTTACAAACACTGAAATGACCTGAATCTCCTTGCCAGGGGTTTTCTTTTTTTTTAAGCCTATGGATGCTTAGGATTGGAATGGATTAATCACAGTTCTGCCTGAGGATAGAGATTCTGTAAGAAGGCTTGCAGCTTGCAGATGTCATGAGAATAGACACACAGTATTGTGCTGAGAACAATTTAGGTTTTTGATGAATTGCTTCACACTCAAAGCCCCTGTACACCTTGCTTTTTACATCCCTTTTGACAAGTTTGTAAACACACTCAGGAGAGTGTGGACCTTCAGTTTAAATTAGGTTGGTGCAAACATTGTTGAAATTTTTGCATTGTTGAAATTTGCCTTTGATATTGGAATACATTCTTAAATAAATGTGTTTATGTTATACATCATTTTAATGCGCATTTCTCACTTTATGCTTTTTTGCTAATGACTTATTACTTGCTGTTTATTGTATATGTATTTTAGACTATGGAAATTATGTTAGACAAAAAGCAAATGTGAGCCATTTTCTTATTCTAGTTCAAAATGAGTCGTAAAGCAGTAGAGACAACTCGCAACATCAACAATGCATTTGGCCCATGAACTGCTAACGAACGTACAGTACAGTGATGGTTCAAGAAGTTTTGCAAAGGAGACGAGAGCCTTGAATATGAGGAGCGTAGTGGCCAGCCATCCGAAGTTGACAACAACCAATTGAGAGCAATCATCGAAGCTGATCCTCTTACAACTACACAAGAAGTTGCCGAAGAACTCAACATGGATCATTCTACAGTCATTCGGCATTTGAAGCAAATTGGAAAGGTGAAAAAGATCGATAAATGGGTGCCTCATGAGCTGACCGCAAATAAAAAAAACCTGTCATTTTGAAGTGTCGTCTTCTCTTATTCTATGCAACAACAACAAATCATTTCTCAATCAGATTGTGATGTGCAACGGAAAGTGGATTTTATATGACAACCCGTGACAAGCAACTCACTGGTTGGACCTAGAAGAAGCTCCAAGGCACTTCCCAAAGCCAAACTTGCACCAAAAATAAGTCATGGTCACTGTTTGGTGGTCTGCTGCCAGTCTGATCCACTATAGCTTTCTGAATCCTGGTGAAACCATTACATCTAAGAAGTATGCTCAGCAAATCCATGAGATGCACCGAAAACTGCAATGCCTGCAGCTGGCATTGGTCAACAGAAAGGACCCAATTCTTCTCTATAACAATGCCAGACTGCACGTCACACAACTAACACTTCAAAAATTGAACGAATTGGGCTATAAAGTTTTGCCTCATCCATCATATTCATACCTGACCTCTCACCAACTGACCACCACTTCTTGAAGCATCTCGACAACTTTTTGCAGAGAAAATGCTTCTACAACCAGCAGGATGCAGAAAATGCTTTCCAAGAGTTCATCAAATCCCAAAGCATGAATTTTTATGCTACAGGAATAAACAAACTTATTTTTCATTGGCAAAAATGTGTTGATTGCAATGGTTCCTATTTTGATTAATAAAAATGTGTTCCAGGGGCTGGCCAAGCAGCTCGTTTTTAAGAATTGGCTTGGGAGTGAGAGCTCTGACCAGCAGGGCCGCGGGTTAGGTTCCCACATGGGCCAGTGACACTGCGCCCTCTACAGCTAAGATGGTGAACAACAGCTCAACCTGGAGCTGGGCTGCCGAGAGTGGCCGGCAACAGCGTAGGCTACAGTGGGGCTACAGTGGGCTGCCATGAGCTACCATGAGCAGCTGTCCAATGGCCAGCGACCGATTGTCCCAGCCGAGAAGAGCTTAATGATCATAATACCAACATGGGCCAGTGAAGCGGCGTCCTTAACTAGACTGAAGAACAAAAGGACAGCAACTTATCTGTTCCCCTTCCCTGATTCCCCAATAAAATCTTTAAAAAAAATTAAAAATTAAAAAAAAATTACAAATTAAAAAAAAAGATGTGTTTGAGCCTAGCTGTAATGATTTAAAATTCATGATCCAAAATCGCAATTACTTTTGCACCAACCAAATATTAAACTGGCACTAAAGAGAAAGTACTGCCATTTAAGACAAGTTCTCTTAGCTAGATTTAGTTGGTACTACATAAGATCTTACACATAATAGGCTTCAATTCCCGCTTCAGCTAAACTACCCTGATACCAGCTTACAATCGAATGAAGGACGGGGTATATAAACTAACTATAATCCATTAACAACTGTGTAAGAGTGTGTTTAATATTTGAACCCATACACACTTTGTCACATCTACTTAACTTCAAAATAAACACAAGATTTTGACTATTTTAAGATTAGCCTCTTACGGTTATTGTGGCATCACGAAGACACAGCTTAGCGTGTTAAAAACTTTTCAAAGAAATCACCCATTGGGTACTTTATGGAACACATATATTGAACCTCAATGACCTCAGGCTAAGCAACTGTCTCCCACGCCTCCCTATTTCAAAGGTTCCCTTCATGACAGTGGAGAGAGGGGCGGCTTCGAAAGCTAACAGTCAAGGAGAGGGACAGAATATAGCCTTTAATCCTTCATCAGAGCAAAACACCAATATATGCATTGTGGGGAAAAATGTGTTCAGGGACCAACCATGGATGTTAACATGGAAATTACTCTGTGGTGGGAAATTTTGAAGTTTTAGAGTCACCAGGATTTGAGGATTTGGGAGTTTGGGTTTGTTTTTGTGTTTTTCGTAAATTATGGGTAGAAACAGTAACAATTGGTAAAGCTCTATACACTTCTGAGAGTCCCCTTTTATACATATATGAAAGCAGACAGTTTACAGAGGATTTGTGGTATAGTTAACATTACTCTCCCAAACCCAGATGTGTGCCTTAGCAAGTAGAGGTCATAAATACAGGAAGGAGTCCTGGAAGAGCCAGTGGCCTGCTTTACTCTTTATTCAAGGGTCTTCAAAGTAAGGCTCTCAGTGACTCTTTAAAAGCTGCCATGTCTCATTGCAGCTGATCAGAGTTCAAGAGATTAAAAAAAAAATGGCTTCTATCTGAGGACATGTCTGTTAACACTACCCTTTTCTGCTCATCTCCTTGCAGGAACACTAAAGTACCTCCTTTTGTTGAGACATCTGACAATGGCCTGTCTAGAAAATTTCCCAAGTCATTTACTCTGGACACATATGCTTTCAAAGAGGGGCTACAAAAGGAATGCTGGCAGGTACCTCCAGTTACCAGGGATTACTCAGTGTGGATTTATTCAAATAATAATCTTACCAAATTTCAAGTCCTTAGTTTGGATATTAAACTCAATTAATGTGACACACTCCACTTAAAATCTTCACAGATTTGTCACTCCACTGCTTCACTCACCACTTTAGCAGCATAAAGAACACTTAGCAGTCAGAGCACCAACTCTGGCACCGGGCCACCTGGGTTTTTTATTCTTGATTCTGCTGCTAGCTGTGTGATCTTGGACAAATTTTTCTTCTTTATGCTTCAGTTCCCTCCTCTGTGAAATGGGGTAATAAGTTTGTCCTGAAAAAGAAATGACTTGATAGAAGTAAAGCGCTGAGAACAGTGCCTGGCAGATAGATGCACAGGTAAATGCTAGAGGTGTAGCACCTATTTAGAACCTAACATTTGCAAGGTATTGTGCTAGTAGTCACTCTATCCCTGTATCTCCACTAAACAAACTTGTATCTTGGTATTAAGGAATAACTTGGGTAGAATAAAATGAACCTCTAATTCTTCTTGTTTAACTTGGAAATGGCCAAAATGCAAATAACTAACTTTGGACTTTGGGTCACAGAAATGACTGTTTCTGGGTTTTCACTATTTCAATAAATATTGTGTCTAATGTGATAGGCCTGGGACTTGATGTGGAAACAGAGTGGACCTGGTGAGGAAACTTAGACTTGGTCTTTTTTTTTTTTTTCCCTCAAGGAACGATTTAAAGCTAAAATAGTTTTCTCATCTGTAATAAAAGAATACCTGATTAAACTTATTTAGAGAGAATAAATAAAAACAATGTGTTCCACTGGACTACAAGTACCCAATAAATGTAATTTCCTCTCATATGATAAATGAAAGGATTCCCTAATTAGGTGACTCCACTAAGTCAGGACTGGAAATTCTCAGTCTGCCACTGAGGAGTTTCCTATTGAAAAAGAGGTGAGCGGGGCAGGAGGTTGACATCAGTAGTCCAACGGAGGACACAGCAGTCAGCAGCCTCGGAAACCAGTGGTGGCCTCCAAAAGACAGGCAGGCGAGAAACCAGAGCACTGGGATGCACCCAAGGTTGAGTGCTGCTCTACTGAGTTCTGCCCTTAGTATAACTGCCGACCTATTTGAAGCTCTTCAATTACATTTCTCGAATGTCACACGTCCCGGCCCCATCTGCGTCCTGTCTGCGGTGATTCAGCGCTCAGGTGGGGCCAGCATGCCGCGCGTTACCTGGGAACCAAGGGGGGCCTTTTACTTCCTGAGTCTGTTTGCTCGCCTGCAACACAGGGGCAGTACTCCCGACTCAGGATAATTAGGAAGACATTTATGACATATTTTATTAAATACAAATGACGTTTCTGAAAGTTCTTTACTAGCCATAGTGGGAATGTAGCCACAGAGAGGTGGGAGTCGACGTAATGTAACTAGGGGAAGGGAAGCTCTGATTGCCACACAAACTTGACACACCGGTCTTATTCTCACCTCTGGAGACACAGGAGCCAGGTCAGTGCAATTTCTCCGCAGGAACAGCCCCTCGCCCTCTGCATTTTTTAAAATTTTATTTTATTTTTGTCGGAGGGATTTATCTGTTGCGCCGGCAAAGCACCCTTCCCCAGGTCACCTTTCCTTTAAGAGGCGGGCCTTCGGCCCGCCCACTACGGAGAGCGAAGGGGTCTAGGCGCGTAGCCCGTTTGCTGCTCCCTCGCCTAACCTTACCAATTGCCGCCCCGGCACGGGAACGCTAAAGGCGAGGGACGCTGCGTGGGTGAGGGGACCTGCCGTGGGAGAACGTGGTCTTAGGAACGTGCCTGCAGAGGAAGCGGCATTGCATTCGGCCGCGTCCCTGGAAGGTCAGTGCCACCCATGCTGCCAGGCGCAGCGCGGAGAGGCCCCGCAGGCCCTGCCGTGGGGTCGGGGAATCGGCCGGGCTGTAAATCCGTCTTTGGGGCCACGCTGCTGCCCGGGCATCCGTGAGTCGCAGGACCCACACGCGGTGCCTGCCCTTCAGTCCCTTGGACATCCCACCCGGTCATTCTGATCCACGTACGCGCCCGCATGCACGCACACCGAGCGTCCTACGCCCCATCTTGGGGTGGGCGTGGCCACCGCTGTTGCAGGTGACCGAGTCCGCGCTGCTGGGAAGCGTGCCCGGCCTGCGTACCGGTGCTCTGCGTCTGGGCAGGAAAGGCTGGCCAAGCAAAAGCTGCTGGTGGATCCGTAGTGGGGAATGTTGAGAAGTGATTGGGATTTCTTCTTTTCCCCCATTTATCATTTAGTAGGCTCAGTAGCATAAGACTTCTGAAAGAAGTGTTTTTACTGAAAAGCTGCGGTGTCAAGTACATGTTATAAAAGGCCTCAGTCTAAGAAAGCAGAGTGGAGGAAAATCAACTACTATTTATTGTGCAAGGCACAATACAACAAAGAATAAATCAGATTCTGTCCCTGCTTCATAGAACTTACTGTTTACCGAAGGAGAGAAACTAATAAGATAATTTCTAAATTATAATTGTGGTAAATGATAGAAGGGAAAGATAAACTATACTGTGGAAGCATTTAATGTTGAGCTCAAACAAATGGGAGCGAAGTGAGTAGCGGGAGATCTGGGAGGTAATCAGAATACTCTGAGAAAGATGGCACTAGGCAGTGATCTGATGTTTCCTAAACCAAGGGAAGAGCATTTCAAGAATCTGAACAGCCAGTATGGTTTAGGCAAAAGAGTTTGTATAGGAGGAGGCTGGAGAAGTGGGAAGGGCCTTTTGGCCTAGTGAGGGGCAATCTTAAGGTGGGGAGGGTATTGGGTATGGTGACAGCAGTGCAGAGGGGAGAGCTGACTGCCGAATTCCAGTGTGGTCTAAGAGCTTAGTCAGCAGACTGATGGGAATCCAAAGGAGATGGATGGTAAGTTAAACTAGGGTGGTGGCAATAGATATGGAAAGAAGTGGATGGATTTGAGTGGTATTAGGAAGTAAATCTGATGAGACTTGGTGTTGGGTTAGCTATGAGAGTGAGGGAGAGTAGAAGTGGAAAAGACCACACATGGTTCTGAATGGACCAGAATGCTGGCCACTGAGGGAGTTATGGGAGACAGAAATGACCATTTAGAAGATTGACAGGAATAAATCCAACTTGTAATTTTGAGCCTTTGGTTCTGAATGTAAAAGCTTTTTAAGAAACATTTCCTGGGTTGTTGTTAGGTTATTTCAATAAAATAACCAAAAAAAAATAAATTAAAATTTTTATAGCTAAAAAATGGTGGTTAAGTAATTAGCCAAAGATATTATTGGCTTTTTCCAGTGTTGTAAATCAGTGTATTAGCTCTTAAACAGCTAACATAGGTGTGGAGAGTACTTCGTGCTCCTTATGGAAGAGCAAAACCAGAACCAAGGGACAGTGATGTGAGGTCTTGGTGACCACAAGTGCAGTCCTCTCACATTGACGCTACACAACGGGGGCTGGAAGGGGGCAGGTGGGACAGTTTGCAGGTCTGCAGACAGAAGCAAGGACTTTGTGAAACTCCTTTGGAAAGTGTGAAACAGATTTAAAGTCATAGGAATTGGCAAAATTAATTTCACAAATACTTAAACCACTAGAATCTATGTCACTTTGATCCAACCTCCCTGGAAAGAACAGATGTCAATATGAGCTTGTGAATATCAGAAATATAAGAAAGAAAAGCAGTGACTAAACAAATAATAAAAGTTATTTTCACTCCTCAGTCTGCATAGTTTCAAAATACATGTAAGCAATTTCATTTCTTACAGGATGGGACCCACCCCTGGTGATGATATCTACTAAATCTTGTATTCCTTGGAATCTGGAAGGTACGTCTGGAGGCTGGACCAGGTCAGGTTAACCTGCTGGCAGGATAGCTTCATAGAAGGTGCCTCCACAAGCCGTGTCACACAATGACATATGCACTGGGATGTCAAGTTGTCCACCATCGGGATGCTGAGACTGACCCTTGGTTAGGAGAGTGACAGCCAGAGTGTTTTTCCTGTTTCAGTTTGGAAATCATCTTTGGGTCACCCTTTGGCACCACTTGAATACCTTATTTCCTCATCAGCTTTTTTTTTTTTTTTAGCTGAGCCATCCCGCCACCTGTTGGCAGCTCACGGCTGCTCAGCTCGGGCTGACTCGAACCGCTGTTGCTCAGAGCTCAAACTCTTGAGCGAGCTCTTAACCAACTGAGCCACTCAGCCGGCCCTCTTCCTCATCAGCTTTTTACCTAATGCTTTTTGTATCCATCCTTGCCCGAATCAGTGTTTTGATTGGAGGTGGCAAAGTGGCAATTTTTAAATTACTTTTACTTTTATTCTCCATTTATTAGCTGGCATTCTCTGAAGAAGAGCTTTTCTTCATCAGCTGGGGATGACTCCAGTTCTTCCTAAAAAGGTAGGATAAATGCTTAGTTCTTATTTAATTACTAATTTTCAAAGTAAGGGGTCAGGATAACAGTCATGTATAGTTGTGGCAAATAATCTCTTTTTTTTATAGATTTTTGCATATTCAGTGTGTTGAAATGAATTTTAGTCATTAATGTTTAAATTATCACACATCTGGCCAGTGGGTGGTCCTTCATGTTACCAAACTGTAAATGAAATGCACACAAAATTTTAACACTGTCCGGGAAATCTGAAAACTTGATATCTGATGACACAAAGGAATGATTATTAGTTGGGATAATGTTATTGTGGTTATTAAAAAAATAGAAGAGTCCTTACTCTTGGAGGTGACATAACTGACGTATTCTGATGAGATAAGATGTCCTTTGAAATAGTTCATGGATGGATGGGGGTAGGAATAGTTGAGGGATAGAGGTGAAGCAAGTGTAGCCACGTGCTGCTAATTAATTAGGATGCTGAGGGCTTTATTACACTGTTCTTTCTGTATAGGTTTGAAAATTTTTCTAATAAAAACTATTGTAATTATTTGAATTTATGTGGATATTGCGCTTCAAATTTAATAACACATTTTTTTCTTAACTTTGTATTTATAATTTTATCTCTGAAAAGCTTATTTTGAAGAAGCGTGCACATCTTCAACTTGGCTGCTTAAAAGCCAAATTTAACTAGTATTGAAGCTTAATTGCTGTGTAAGTCAAGAAAATGTAAAGCTTTTTAAAATTTGAATAATGGTAAAGAACTTTTTAAAAAAGCATATACTGTAGTTACAGTATTTTTCCATTTTACCTTTTTCTCTTCCTGGGAAGTGTTTTTAAAGTTTAAAAAGATTTTACATCATTTTTCTGAAATATTTGGTAAGTAAATGTAGTAATTTATTTACAAGTATAAAAATACTTCCTTCTTATACAAATTTTTGAGAAATAATTATTTAGGAAGAATAGGGAAAAAAAATCAGTATATCTTCAACCTCAAATAACCAGGGTTTTTATAAATTTCATCTTTTTCCTATGCCTAGTTTATTTGCTTACTTGTTCTTAAAAGTCCTACATTTCAAAATAATATTTTCTGTTTTAATACGTTGATAGTTCACAGGGCACATTAGCTTTCATCTGTTACTGGTAGTTTCATCCTAACTCATAGTGAAATTTGCAACTTGATACTCCTGCTATTTTTCTGATGCTAAATGGAAAAAAAGTCTTCTCTGATCGCTTCAACTTTTCTGCTTTTTTGGTTTGGAGGACTTCACTTCCTCCACCAACAAATATCTGACTGTTTTATTAAACACTATCTCAGCTATTTAAAATGCAGTTTGCCCCACCTTAGAGCCTTTACAACATCTACAGCTAGAATTCAGTTAAGGACCAGTCAATTCATCTCACTCACTGTGATCTGGCCATCGATGTCACTGAGAGGTGGCATCTGACATACCAGCTAGAAATGTGAAGAGTGCAGCCGGCCAACATTGGTGTGGTTGGTGGGACATGACACATCTGAAGACCTAGAGGCTAGATGCCAGCAGACACTGCCATCCCTCCTGGCTGGTCCCCTTGGCTCATATATTCATTCAGCATGGACGTACTGACCCAGGTTCTAAGTACCAGTGCTAGGAACACAGCAGTGAACAGAATGGACAAGTTACATTTTTTCACGAAGCTTACATTCTAGTGAGGAGAGATTATAAACTTACGTGTAAATAAATATGTAATATGTCAGGCAGTGAATTCTGTTAAAAGGCTAGGTAATGGGTTTGAAAGTGATGGAGTGCCATGGTAGAAAGAGTGGACAGGGATGGCCTCGCGGAGTGGTAACATTTGAGCGAGACCTGAAGTAAATGAGCTGCACTGTGAAGGAAAGAACTCCTGGACGCAAGAACCCGGAGGAAGGGGTCAGTGCTTTGGGCAGAGGGAGGTGGGGGCCAGGTCACAGAGGGCATTGTAGGCCCTATGTGGGCTTGGCTTTTGCCCTGGCATGGGAGCCAGTGGAGGGATATGATCTGACTTACTCATTTTATAATAAAAGGATCACTCTGAGTGCTGTGGGGGTGATAAATTACAGAGGGCGAGGGCAGGGCAGGGAGACGAGTCGGGAGGCCTGTACCGCAACCCAGGGAGAGATGATGGCACTTTTGGAGCAGGGTGGTAGCAATGGAAAAAGTGGGAAGCGATTAGATCCTGGATATATCAGGGGTGCCAAAAAAATGTATACAAGTGGACTGGTCTGCGTTGCTCAAGCAGTAGTTCGCCATAATCAGAAGTGTCTGGACGCTGATGGTAACCTCTTGTAATTGCAGAAGTCAAACATGGCTTGTACTCATCTTTTGTTATCGATATGTATTGACTATTACAATTTTAATAGTTTTTTCCTTTCTTAAAATGTGTATACATGTTTTTGGCACCCTTTGTATTTTAGAGGTTGAACAGGACTTGCTGATGAATTGCTGAGAGAAAGAGAAGAGTCAAGGATAACTGCCATTTTGGCCTGCCCCCTGCTCCCTGCCCCCCCAGAAGGATGTGTTGTCACTGTATGAGCCAGGGGAGACTGAGGGAGGAGCGAGTGTAGGGTGGAAGATGGTGAATTCAGTTTGGGACATGACTGTGGGGTATCTAGGTAGAGGTGTTGGGTGGGCAATTAACTACATGTTTGGAATTCAGGGGAGAGGTTGAAGCCAGAGCAGTAAATGTGGGTGTTATCAAGCTATATAAGGAGGAAAGTGATGTACATCCCATCACTTCCTTTTCAATTTACTGTGCTTTTTTTCCCCCCCATAATACTGTTAACAAGGGTCATGGGTGGTGGTGGCAGACAGGATCAGTGGGTTGACAGGTGGGATCAAAGCTTGGGACCAGAGGGAATTTCTAATTTTAACAAACAGCCCAGGTGATGCTCATGCAGGTGACCCTGGAAACGTTCTTTGAGAAGCACAGCTTAAGGCGCCTCATCCTTTCCTCTTTCATCCTTGACAAGGCACACCTCTGAGTTCTTGATGCTCTAGTGTTTGTCAGTAAACCCTAGATTAGGGGATGAATGGGTCCTGTCATCCCTCCTTCGCCTGCACTTCTAAGCTTTACCTAATGTGTAAATGGAAGGAGAGAGACACTTATTATAGCAGAAAAGCAACTTAACAAGCAAAACTGCTTATAAGTGCAGCACCTACAACTGAAGGAAAACCAGTATCGTCATCTGTGTTTAGTACTGAATTAGTATTTGGTAGCCTTACTTACCCTGCAAGTGAGCTTTATGTTTGAGGTCAGCACTTTGATTAACGTCAAGGTATGTCCTTTCCAATAGTCTCACCTAGTTCTTCCAGTGGGTCAGCTTTCCTTATGGAGAGAGAGTTCCCCAAATAGTGCTCTTATCTTTTGTATGCCATCAGATATACTGATAAGTTGTTAAGTTTATGAATCGATGTTTTATGAGTCACCAAGGATTTTATAGACTACATCCTCCTTAATAAACCTTTGGATGACCTTTGCTTTTGAAGTTGGCACTGTAAGATCCATAGGAAACAGAATCAAATGAGGTATATGGGAAAGAAAAAAACGAAGACCGAAGCACTGTGCCAATGTGGCTTATTCTAACAAGAACTTGTAGTGGGTACAGTACCACCATGAATTAGTGTGACCATGGTCACCTGATGGTCCATGTTATTGGTATAAATTTCCTGTGCACAGATCTGTAATGTTCACAGATGACAGAGTTCCCACAGCCTCATACAACACCCTCCATGTACCACAACATCAAACCACAAGAACAAGTGGCTGAATTTTCATGGACTTTTCTCCCTATTTTTTAGGATGGCTGCTCTTTTTCTAAAGACGTTAACATTACAAATCATAAAGACTGGAAATAATTGTATTAGAAGATGTATTGGCATATACATCGTGCAGAAGACACCGTTGTCCCTTATTGCTTCTGCCCCAAGACTGTCCAACCTAATTCATGCAAAAGCTTTTAGTACTGAAGATACCCAGGAGCAAAGAAAAAAGAGCAAAAAGAACGAAACTGCTTTTAGTAACATTGGAAGGAAAATTAGTGAGCGGATCATTCATATATTTGATGAGAAGGGCAATGATTTGGGAAGCATGCACCGAGCTGACGTGATTCGACTCATGGACGAGCGAGACCTGCGACTTGTGAAAAGGAACAGCAGTGCGGAGCCCCCAGAGTACCAGCTCATGACCGGGACGCAGATTCACGAAGAGCGCCTGAGACTGAGAGAGAGGGAAAAGGCTAGGCCTGCACCTGGTAGGTGGTTCGCCCTCTGCCCCAAGTCCCCTAGAACCGCACTTCAGCAGCTCACATTGGGCGTTGTCCCGGTGCCTTGTGACATGGGGAGTGGAAAACTGGAAATTCAGTTTCACCACTGTTTCTAGTGCCTTTTTCCATCCCTCACTTATTTCTAGTCCTTTATTTTCCTTTTCCTTTGTCTCCTGTGTCTATCATTTCTTGCTTTAAACCTGTGTAAAATGAGAGATAAACACCGAAATAATAGGAGCTCTTGCAGCCCATTTGTCCTTTGCGTGGTCTCCAAACGCCAGGCAGGCAGAGTGACTGAGGGCTGTGAGATGAGACTTGGGAGAGATGCAGTCGAGTTCTTATCCCTGTCCTGGGCCCCTCATCCAACCTCCTTTTTTTTCTTTTTTTATCTCGTCTCTAAAATGCAGGTGTTTGGTTAATTACATGGAAGCACTTTCTAAACTGAAGTGATTCACAGAGCATCTCCCATTTTGTTAAAATACTGGTAGTGACACTCATTTACGTATTTTGTCAGTCACCTTACAAGGCTCTTGCCATTTAACCCTTATAGAAGCCCCGAACTAGATATTAAGTGAAGATGTTTGTTTTTCATGATTCCTAAGTGCTGTTGATTAAGATTGTTCAGTGGAAGACGTGCTGGCTGGGGCTGCTTCTTGAGAAAATCACACCTTGTGTGGCTTAGATTGTAACACCACACTTAACAAGGATGTTGACTGGAAAACACAATATTTTCCAAAGAGGCCAACGAGGGTGGTAAGGGCCCCAAACTATGACACAACAAAATTGCTGAACACACTGGAGAAGACGATTTACTTTGTCCTCATAGGGAAACTAGGACCAACTGGTAGAAAGCAAGAAAGTGTTGATAAAAGAACTCTTCTTAGAAAAATTACTTATTTTGGAAATTAAAAGCATACAAAAAAATATAATAAACTGTTACCATCCAAAATGAACAACCATTATCATACTTCAGGTTTCTTTAAAGAAAATACAGAAAAGTTGAGGTCCCCTGTGCTCCCTTCTGTTCCAGCCTCCTTCCCTCCCCAGAGGCCCTCGCTCACTCTTGCAGATTCAGTGTGTAGATCCTGTCCATGCTGTTAAACTCATTACAGGCACAGCCACAAAGTATAATAGAATGATTTTGTATCAAATTGTAAATGGCACATTTTGTTTTCAAGATGTTTCTATAACAGCTGTAGCTAACTTATAATTACCAGATGACATTTCATCGTAAGCATATACCATAGCTTTGTTAGTGCATTTCCATGGCCCTTGGGCGTATTTCCAGTTTTCATTATTATGAACAATGAGCATATGCATCAGTGTCTCTTTGTGTGTGCTCGATTCCATGGGGCAAATCGGCAGCACTGTGTGAAATTTCTAAATTTCTTTGCATCCTTACCCACACTTGGTGCTGTCAGACTCTAATTTTTGTCATGTTAATGGGTGAGAAACCATATCTTAGTGTTTTAATTTGTATTTCCTTTCATCATTTGCCTTTCCTCTTCATATTATTTTTTCTTAGGAAATTTCCTATTCATATTCCTTTTTTTCTTACATCAATGGTTTCTTTTTCTTCCAGATTTATAGGGGTCTTTATTCTGTATGATGCAAAACCTTATCTTAGATTTCTCACTCTAGTTTTTCCCTTATCCTGAGGTCATAAACATGTCCTTTCCTTTCTTCTATTTGTTTAAAAGTTGTATTTTTTCACATTTAGACAGTCCATCTGGGAAGATTTTTTTTAAATTTTTTTTTATTGTTAGTTTCAGGTGTACAGAACAATGCAATAGTTACCCTTATCACCCTCACAAAGTAACAACCCCCGTCCCCCCATCCACTGCCCTCCCACCCCCATATCATGCTTATCTATTACAATTCCATTGAATCCGTTCCCGCACTCTACTCCATGTCCCGAGGTTATATGTATATATAATTATAGTTGACATACAGTATTATTCAACATCAGTTTCAGAAATACAATGCGGTGGTCAGGCCTCTACATCAATGGGAAGATTTTTGTGTGGGTTGAAATCTAACTTCCCTCCATATGAAGCTTCTCAATTGTCCTAGTGCCTTTAATGCATAATCTGTTCCTTCCCTGTGAAATTATTTTCTAATCGTCAGGATTTCCAGACAGAATGAGTGCAGGATGTAGGGGGCTCCCCCTCGTCTGTGGTCTGGATAACCCCACTGGAGCTCGGAGGGAATCATAAAAGGATGAGCAGAGAAGAGTACTTCCCCAACACTTATCACATCACAAAGAAAAATAAGGATAATCAAGTTTATCAAAGCTAAACGTGTTCCTTTTAAAAGGACCATTCTTTTGGTGTTCTTTCATCAAATGATGGTAACAATAAATGGAGGTATTTCATATTTAAATACCCTTGCTTGGCAGGCAAAATATTGGTACCTTTGTGTTTGTCTCCCCTGTTTAAACAAGTATTTACTGGTCTGTGAAACCAAGGTCAGGGGAGAGGACCGTTAGGCCCAGTGGCAACCCAAGATTTTAGGAAGTCCATGAGCGCGCTGTTCAGGGCTCACAAACAGGATAGTAAATAGTCCTAGCACCAAGTCTCCCTGTTTCAAACTAGGACCGACTCTGACAAAGGAACTAACTTTTTCTTCAAATATTGGACAACATGATTTGGACACAAAGAATAAACAGATTCGGCAGTGGATTGAAAAAAAATACAAAGTTCAAATTACTGTAAAGAAAGGGAAGAATGTAGAAGAGCCAGAAAATAAAGTGGTAAGTAGAAGCAGGTATGAGTAATTGTGTTGTTTTCTGATCTAACTAAAATACAATTGTAGAAAATCTGGGAACTGTAAAGGCAAAGAAAAGTGACAATAGTTCCACCCAATGATGATCACAGCTTTCCAATTTGTTTTTCAAAATGCAAGCATACTGTATATACGTTACTTTTTCCATTGTAATAAATATTCTGCCATGTGAAAACATTCTACTTCATATTTAAAAGGCTATATACAATTCTGTTTTACAAATTGTAGATTATCTAACATTTAAATAGGAAAACTAGAAACTTTATAGATTCATTGTTTTAAAGTTTGTTTCCTCTATAAATGCCTGTAAGGCATCATATATAAAGTCAAAGTATCTTCAAGAAAGTGTGAGTTTACAATCCCAGGATAAGTTCATGGAATATCTGTGTCGCTTTTAGAGTTACATAACTGATCAGCAGATAAAAGGCAGCACCAGTCCAGTGGTTTTCAACTCTAGTTCCATACTGGAATTACTTAGGCCTAGGTCCCTGCCCAGCTGACCCAGAACCTCTTGAACCAGGTGTATTTTTCTAATCACCCCCAAGTGACAGTGTGAGTGTTGGGAAGCGCACTGGGCTAACAGTTTGGGGGATAAGCAGGACTCTGCCAATGCCTGAACCCACTGCTTTATACCTGTTGTTGCAAGAGGGCAGCCTGGGGCCCATCGTGGCCCCTCCATGCAATGGCAGAGTAGGGATTTAAAACTAGCAGGCTTTTCGTGCCTTAGGTTAGTTACATGGAGTTTGTAGAACTGCCTGGTCAGTGGACAGGTTTTTCAGTCAGCTGGATTTGTAGCATTTGATTTAGCTAATCACTTACAATAGCAATTCAAGAATGCTGGAGTTTATGGTTTGTAGAGTATTAACACTAGAAAGACTGAAAGACACTGGTTTTATATTAATCTTTGGCTGTTCTCCATTCTTAGGAGGAGATATTTAATCAAATCCTCCAGGCTATGCCTGGAATAGCCACCTTCTCATCCAGTCCAAGACCTGTTAAAGGAGGAAAAGCTGTGTTGTGTGTTCTTCGTCCTTTGAGCAAAAAGGAAGAGATGGCATATAGAGAAACTCAAGGGACCCAGAAAGGAGATCCTTTAAACAAAGAAAATGGAAACAGTAGCAAATCAGATGTCCTGCATCAGTGATTTTAATTAAAAAAAAAAAAGTGCCTCTGAGACAAAAGGCAGACATACCTCCTTTTATTGCGCGTCACTGTGCTTCACAGAGGTTGCAGGGTTTTCTACAAATTAAAGGCAAGACCCTCCACCAGAAAAAGCATTACAACTCACTTTACTGCATATTCACTTTACTGCGGTGGTCTGGAACCCACCCCCAATGTCTCTGAAGTCAGCCTGTAGCTGAGCTGGCTGGTCTATAGTCCTATAAAAAAAGCAACTGGATGCTTAGCTGAGAGCAAGCGCTGCAACTGTGGAGAGCACGTTGTCCTCAGCGCAGCTCAGCGACTCGCAGGTTGTCCGCAGAGATATGCCCTGTTCTTGTTTCCTTTTAGGAGGGATATAGCCACTGAGGTGAGAGGCCAAACTCCGCTTTTCACGAGCTCGTTTCACCTTTGGAAATAAGGAAAAGAGACGATTAGAATTCAAGATCAAAACTACCAGAACTAAGTTTACAATAGCTGTATGTACACCCTGATAGGTGCACCACACTCCTGAATAAGAAACAAGTCCATGCAATCGCTTTCAATAGTGGGGCGGACTCACACAGTAAGAAGGAGCTGGACATATTCTAAGTAGATCGCATCTAGCTTAATTAAGCAACTTGTGTTTTAAAGACAGCAGCTTGCCTAAGTCGTCTCAACTTACTTTGAGCTTCATTTTCTTCCTGTCGGGGTCATGCACGATGGCATGCCTACTGAGACTCTGCTGCAATGAAGGAACAGAAACAGATTTTTAAAACATTGCCATTTGGTGTCTATTAAAGTGAATACTGTTATTTAAATGGTCAGCCTTTTTTTCTGTAACATTCTGAAGTGATGGGACCTCTACCTACCAGGGTTCCCACCAGACAGGACTCTCCCTCACATCCTGGACTGAAATCACTGCCTCTTCCCATGACCCAGGTTAGGAATTTAGTCTCGCCCACCTGTGGCTTCTTAGCTTCCCTAAGTAAGAGGTCAGGGAAATGAATTCTGAATGAACTAATCCCAGCCGTAGGAGGTTCTTTTAACTGAAGCTATGGGCAGCATCCCCAAACCAGTGGAGTATCTTCCCAGTCCTGCCGTCCCTGACAGTGCTGGCCACCGCCAGCTCCACGTGGCTTGCTGAGGGTTCAGACCTACGCTCAGCCAGCCTCCTCTCTCTCTCCAGTCTTCATTACTCACGGTAAGTGCTTTAAGCACCAACCAGCGAATCCAACTGCACAGACCCCTCCGTTTAGTGTCACGTCCCTCCCCTATTCAAATCACCTCAAGATCTAGACTAGATTCCCAAAGTTCTGCAGTCCCTCACGTCCTTGTTGCCCACCTCCCTTCCCCATCCCTACATGACGGTCTAAAAGGATGGCTCCCAGGTAATGGCAGTCTAAAAGGACACACAAAACACCTCTTATGAGTAAGAAGCATACGGTACCACAGGCCACTGGTTCTCAATACGGCCCATGTACATATCACCTGGAGGGTTTGCTACGTCTCTGGGCCCCAACCAATTCGCAGAGTTCTTGATTTGGGAGGTCTAGAGTAGGACATGTGGATATGCGTTTCTAGCAAGTTCCCAGGTGATGTCAGTGCTCCTGGTCAGGGACCATACTTTGAACCACTTGACATAGGCCCATACGGCTGTTTTGGGACTTGGGTTCAGAACCATCTGGCTGAAGCAAGAGTGGAGGCCTTGGAGCCCTGCTCAGCCAGCCTTCCCACCTGCTTCGAGGGCTCCCAGGGACCCAGCTGGGAGGCCACAGGCCCCTGTGTGAGGCGGGTACTTACTTTCATTGCAAAGGTTTTGCCACAGCCAGCATGCTCACACACAAACGGGCGCCTCTCCTCATGGAAAGAGAGAATGTGGCTCTGGAGATTGAACAGGGTGGTGTAGGTTCTGCCACAGCCTTCTCTGGGACACCGACACACATCCCTTTCTGGGGCGTGAGTTTTCATATGCTGCTTCAGGTAATCTTTGCGCTTAAATGTTTTCTGGCACACTTCACATATTGTTTCCTCTGGTGAAGCAGACAAAAATGTTTAACCAATTTCCCCAGGTATTACCACATAGAAAACATTAATATTCAATATGTAAGTAACGTATTCGGTGCCTAAAACCCTATGATTATACGTAAGTCAGAAATTTCAGAGGCAACTAACTCCAGTTTTTATTGCTTGTCAAGTTCTTAGGTTACATAAGTCTCCCTTGCTAAGGAGCAGGGGTTCCCCAACTGTCCCACAGAACACCAGTGCCTCCCGACATCCTTTACGTGCCAGAGCCTTTAAAAATGCTAAGTGCACACATTAGCTCTAAGAGACCTGGCATAGCTCTTCCCACAGGTGGGACCACTGGTGTATCTATTCATTTGTCTAACAGCTGAAGTGCCCAGCACTTCACAAAACAACCATGACTTTAAAGCATACATTTAATATTTTACTCTTTAAAAGCACTAAATCAGTTCTACAGGGGCAAACATTTATACCAAGCCATTCGTGTCTGCCTTACCTTTATGGGCTTCTCTTACATGTTTCAGAAGTTCTGTCCATGTTTTTGCCACAAAGGAACATCCTTTTTGACATATATATCCTATTTTAAAAAAATAAAAAAGATTGGTGCATTGCCTTTTGTGAATATTCAGTGTAAACACCAATCATAATTAGAAACTTACATCTATATAATTTTTCTCCTACTTTCCAATAGTATTCTATTCTGTTAGTCCCAAGAGGTAGGAGTGAAACGTAAGGAGAGTGTATTTAGCAAGGTACTTTGTAAAGATTTTACCTTTGCGGACTTCGCAAGACTGCCTTTCCCTTCCCTGCTGTCCTTGGTGAGCTGGGTACTGCACGCTTTAAGGCCCCCCGCCTCCATGGCTCATGGCCCCTTTCCCCTCTCTGCTTTATGCTTGCCTCTTGTTTTCCTCAGCAAGAGTTTAGGTGGTCCTTTCTCCTTGGCAAACCACCAACACTAAATCTCAGCAGCTGTGTGCCCACCTCCTGGATTCTTCTAGTCTTACCATCATGTAAATTTCATATGGCAAAAGAGAAGTAGGGTACAGCTATGAGAGAAAATAAACTAGAAGAGCCCAGAGAAAAGCACTATGAATAAGAATGGGCATTGCGCAAAGCACTAGAATTGGATTAATCAGTCAGTATATGAGCCGGCCTGAGTTTCACCTAATTAAACACCAGGTAGAAACTAAAAAGGAGGAGGCTACCTCTCACACTCAGCTACTAGTCTCTTGTGGTTTTTTTTTTTGGGGGGGGAAGGGGGTGGCAGGGGGCAGTTTAGTGTCACGTGTACAAAACAAGTAGTGATTAGACATCTATAGACCTCACAAAGTAAAAACCCCAGTAAGTCTATTACCCATCTGACACTGTACATAGTTATTTCATTGACTATTCCCCATACTATACTTTACACCCCCATGACTATGTTGTAACTACCAATTTGTACTTCCTAATCCCTTCGCCTTTTCCAGTCATCCTCCAAACCTCCCTCTTATCTAGTAACCATCAGTTCTCTGTATCTATGAGTCTGTTCTGTTTGTTCATTTATTTTGTTCTTTAGAGTCCACAGGAGATCATATGGTATTTGTCTGACTTATTTCACTTAACATGATACTCTCTAGATCCATCCATGTTGTTGCAAATGGTAAGATTTCATTTTTTATGGCAGAATAATATTTCATTGTATATATGTACCACCTCTTTTGTTTCCAGTCATCTATTGGTGGGCACTCACATTGTTTCCATATCTTGGCAATTGTAAATAGTGCAATGAACATAGGGATGCATATATCTTTTAGAATTAGTATTTTGGATTTCTTTGGATAAATACACAGGAGTGGAATTGCTGGGTCATAAGTAGTTCTATTTTTAATTTTTTGAGGAAACTCCATACTGTTTTCCATAATGGCTGCACCAATCTGCAATCCCACCAACAGCGCATGAGGGTTCCCTTTTCTCCACATCCTCGCCAGCACTTGTTGATTTATTGATGATAGTCATTCTGACAGGTATGAGGTAATATATAATTGTGGTTTTTATTTGCATTTCTCTGATGATTAGTCACACTGAGCATCCTTTCATGTATATTGGCCATCTGTATGTCCTCTGGAGAGATGTCTATTCAGGTCCTCTGTCCATTTGTTAATTGGATTGTTTGGTTTTTTGGTGTTTTATGAGTTCTTTATAAATTTTTGATATTAACATCTTATCAGATGTACCATTGGCGATGATCTTCTCCCATTCAGTAGGTTTTCTTTTCATTTTGTTCATGGTTTCCTTTGCTGTGAAAAACTTTTTAGTCTGATATAGTCCTATTTGTTTATATTTTTTGTTTCCCTTGTCCGAATAGATATATCAGTAAAAATATTACAAAGGGTAATGTCTGAGACTTTAATGCCTATGTTTTCTTCTAGGAGTTTTATGGTTTCAGGTCTTACATTTAAGTCTTTAATCCATTATGAGTTTATTCTTGTATATGGCATAAGAAGGTGGTCCAGTTTTCCCAGCACCGTATATTGAATAGACTGTCTTTACCTCATTGTATATTCTTGCTTCCTTTGCCGTAGATTAACTGACCATATAGACATGCATTTATTTCTGGGCTCTCTGTTCTGTTCCCTTGATCTATGTGTGTTGTTAAGCCAGTCCCATGCTTTTTTTATTACTAGTATAGTTTATGTAGTATAGTTTGATGTCAGGTAGCATGATGCCTCCCGCTTTGTTCTTTCTCAGGATTGCCATGGCTATTTGGGGTCTTTTATAAATTTTGGGTTCCATATAAATTTTAGGATTATTTGTTCTCAATCTGTGAAGACTGCCATTGGTATTTTGATAGAGATTGCATTGAATCTAAAGATTGCTTTAGGTATCATGGACACTTTATATTAATTCTTCCTATACTTGAACATAGTGTATGCTTCCATTTATATCTATCTTTTTAAATTTCGCTCTTCAATGTCTATCAATTTTCTGAGTACAGCTCTTTTTCTTGGTTAAATTTGTTCCTAAGTTTTCTTTTGTTTTGTTATGTTTTTTTGATGCAATTATAAATGGGTTGTTTTCTTAATTTCTCTTTCTGATATTTCATTATTGGTGTATAAAAATGTAACCAATTTCTGAATATTAGTAATTTTGTATCCTGCTACTTTACTAAATTTATTTATCAGTTCTAATAGTTTTTTGGTGGAATTTAGTCTCTCTTTTTTTTTTTTTAAATCCCATCAATTCTAGGGCTTAGGTAATTGGAATATATATATTAAAAATCCTTCATAGAAACATAACAGAGTCAAGCAGTTAGTTTAATCAAGTCTCTTTGGAAAAATAAATTTACAATCTGATTGCTCCAAAAACTCCAAACTATTACCTAAGCTCTGTGAATGCTCATAAGGACAAGGTGGCAGAGGTAGTAAGTACAGGAGTTGAAAGCAATTAGGAAGAAGCAGGGCCTTGGCTGGAGCACCGGCATTGTCACAAGGCCACAGAGGAACCGGACAGTTGTCGTGAACAATAAAACATTAACTCTGACTGACAACGACAGTGGAGTGAAGAACAGAGCAACACACAGTGCCTCTTTGGTCAAGAGTACAAAACCTGAATGGTGCCCCTACCAAATTCTGAGTTTCTCAGTAAGACCACCAATCGAGTAGAAAGCACCAAGCAGTCCAAGAATTAAACACACACCCTGTTGGCGTGTTGGCCAAAGTGAGCACACACACCGCCCATACGCACCATCATGGACCTTCGCATGCCGTTTCAGCCTGCTGGGTGAAGCAAAGTGTCTTCCACAGCCTTCGTGGGTGCACCTAGGTTAACGAGACATGAACTATCAGCCCGTCCACTTTCAAAGAGAACGCCACTCAGCGTAAATAAGACTTTGTCCTAGTTCTACCAAAGCCTCTGCTTCCCACAACCAAACCACTCATATAAAAATGGGATTTAAAATTTGGACCTAATCACAGGTGAAATTCAAGTTACTTGACCAGCCTTGGGCTAAAACAGAGGAAAAAGTCCATTATATTATTATTTTTTTGCTTATGTGATCAAATCACTGTTTTCATCTTTATACTTCTGAAAATATATTGTTTTCATGGCTACAAAAAGATGGCTCCGGTAAACTCCTAAACCATTCCGAATTGTGCGTGTCTAGTTTTTCTAATGATGCCACGCTGGGACAGCATGAAGAGAACACAGCAGCAGACACACCAGCCAGCCTCTGGTAAGCAATGAAAAGTGCGTGCCACCTCTGTGCTAATGCCACCAGCAGCACAAGAGTAAGTGGACCTGTGAGCAAGGACTGGCACTGTCACGGAAGCAGCTCCCAGGCGAAGGGCTGCCTGTGTGAGCAGAGGCCAGCCGGTGCCAGGCTGACCCCCCGAGCAGGCGGTCAGCATGCCTCGATGCCCTTTGGAGTCTATCCCACTGTCTCCTATCATCCTTTCGTGTTCCTCATGAAACCCTCTCTAGAGCAGGATACGCCCAACGGATTCTGTTCTACAGGAAAAGAACAGTGTCATCATAATGACATTTTGTGTCATTGAGTCGGCTGTGTTTGGAGAGTTAAGTCATTTCTAAGCCTTCCCTTCAAGTTTAACTGCAACTGTACTAATCTCACAAATTATCGTGAAACACATTAAATATCTCTTTTAGAGAAACAAAAGCCAAATTTAACTTCTGAAATGTCCCCATATACAAATGGGTGTACGCTATACACGTTAACAGAAAAGCGTTGCTTAAGAAACTGTTTCAGAACAATTTGTACCCAATCTTTGCATTTTCAATTTGATTTCACCCACATAAAGTACCTACTTGAATAGTGGTTCATTGGTATGCTGGCACTGATGGATTTTCAGCTGCTGATGTTTCTTAAAGGTCTTCTTACAACCTTCAAAACAGCACTGTTTAGTAAAGGTTTGTTAGTCTTGAGAAAAATCAAAGAACAGTTCACAACAGAATCCTCTCAAGATAAAAATATTGTGGAGATTATGGACTTGCTACTTTCACCCATTTACTGTAAAATTCTATGTCAAGAAGCTTTACAGAGAAATGTCTGTTGAAAGAGCACAATATTTCATTCTGGGTAATCTACCAATATAGTTAGTACAATAATGTTTGCTTTCAAAATAACACCATTATTATGAAAGCTAGTGTCAGACTACCTTCAGATCTTCAACAGACAAAAGCTGATTGATGAAAATTTAAAAACATAGACAAAAATGTTCAGAGAATTTAAGCCTATAAAATCATTCATACTTACTACATATTGTTTTTGCTGATTTTCATGTTTGCGTTCAAAATGTTTCTTCAAGTTTGATTTTGTGTTGAATTTTTGATCACAGCCACTAGCAGCACAACTATGAGAAATTATATAAACCAAAATATTATCCAAGGGAATCGAAGTTTTAAGGCTTTATGAAAGCTAATTATTCCAAATATAGTATTATATAAAACAGTCTTTAACCAATTCCAGAGTGTGAAGCCATACTATCAAGCCTCTCAGCTTTGATGTGATTATCATGGAACAAGATGCATTTCATGTCAGGCCTCTGAAATTAAGCATTCGGCATCAGACATCCTTTGTGCCTGGGGCAGAGGGAAGGTAAAAAACACTAGTTCCAAAAGCCCAAACCCTGATTAGGCTTACATCATGTTTAACTGTTTTCAGTTTAGAATCTGATAAACTTAATTTTGCTTGCAATGTCACTATAAAATGTCTTTCCAAAAAGACCTAAAATTTAAAAAAAAAAAAAATACTGGTTTCAACTTACCTTTTGAGGTAAACACAAAATCATAAACCATTATGCCCTCTGGCATATCTCCAAGCCATTCTAGTTCCCCTTAATGAGGGTTTCTATATCTTGGCCTTGAATTATCTAAATTCTTTGTGAAGTTGTGTTTTTTTTTTTTAAACATGCTGTTTGTGATGAGTTTTCATCAGCCTGAGGATGAGGCAGGACTACCTTTAGAAGCCCTCACCTTAGCTATCATCGCTGATAAACACTGAATAATACTCATACGAAGACTGTGCTATCCACAGGGCCAGGCGGAGGAAGACACAGACTTAACTGCACAGTGACAGTGGGAGATATTCCGAGAGGCCCACCGGAAGCACATGGGAGGGGCACTGGGGCAGGAACCTTTGGAAGTTCCAACAGGTGTTCCTGACCTCAGGAACAGAATGCTAAGGCTTAGCTGGGAGAATGGCCAATGGAAATGAGCGCTTTCCAGCCTCCCTTGCAATTAGGGGTGGCCACATGGCTAAGTGGTCCATCTGTTCAACTCCCACAAAGTGTCTAAAAGAGGGGCACACCTCTGTGCCCCTTCCGCCGTCCTGGTGGCTGGAATGCTTATGTGACAGCTAGAGGGTGGTGGAGACATTAGAAGGAGCCCAGGTCCTGATGACTGTGGAACAGCCCTTGACTGTGTATCTCTGCATTTCAGTTATGCAAGAAAAAAGGAGGCTATCTTGGTTAAGCCTCTAAGGTGCTGGGTTTGCTGTCACTCTTGACTTTAATCCTGACACTGGCAACTAACCTAACACAGGTGTGGGGCGGGACCTGAATAACAGCCACAGGTGCACTGAAGACCCTGACAAAGTTTGGGAAGAAGGGGTGGAGGGAGGCTGTGGTCAGTTAAACACAGCTGGACCACAATTTCATGTCTAAGAGTCAAGCAAATGGGGCAAGATACGCAGAAAAAGGCCAAATCACAAAGTACGTCATTTATATGACACACTGAGAAGCTGGACTTCATTCCATAAGCAGTGCTTTAAAACTACTGCACTGCTGTAAGAAGAGAAGCAACCTGGAGGATAATGTGGGGGGGCCAGTCTGGGGACACAGAGAGCAGTCACTCAGGTGAGGAGTAGGGCCTGCAATGAGACAGTGGCAGCTGGAGCCAGGGAGAGGGACATACAGGGTCAGGCTCAGGACGTGATGACCCACATGCTGGAGAGCATGGGGAGCAGAATGAGGTGTCCCGGAGCTGCCTCATCTTTGCTGTGGGTCACCAAATAGACAGTGATGCCACCCGACAAGAACAAGGGACGAGAGGGTCAAAGAGAAAGCCGAGCTCAGACTGGACTGGGAGATCTCAGCCATGTGGACTTGAAGACACAGAGACAGCTGGGTAACACTGTCCAGCGAGCACCTGGACACGGGGATCTGGCACTAAAGAGAGAGGTCTGGAGGCTGAATAGTGGTTGATTTTGGCTGTTGGTCCTAACGGGGTTAATCCAGAATGGCTACTGCAATCTTTGTGGATAAGGAAAATGGAGAACCCAGCACCCGTGTGGCTCCTAAGGACCAGCTGAAGCTGGGGTCTGGGACTTCAGTCAAAGCTTTAAGATGGGAGATCTCAGGATTCAACACCATGCGTTGGCAAAATGTTTGATACTCCACCAGCCTTACCTAAAGCTGCCAGAAAGGCTTTGGGAACTGTCAACAGAGCTACAGAAAAGTCAGTAAAGACGAATGGATCTCTCAAACAGAAACAGACAATCTTCTCTGCCAAAAAGGTGACGGAAAAGACCGTTAAAGCAAAAAGCTCTGCTCCTGCCTCGGATGACACCTATCCAGAAATAGAAAAATTCTTTCCCTTCAATCCTCTCGATTTTGAGAGTTTCAACCTGCCGGAAGAGCACCAGATTGCACAGCTCCCCTTGAATGGAGTGCCTCTCATGCTGCTCGAGGAGGAGAGGGAATTTGAAAAGCTGTTACATGTGGGCCCCCCTTTGCCTCTGAAGATGCCCTTTCCACTGTGGGGGTCCAATCCGTTGCTGTCTCCCTCAAGCATTCTGTCGACTCGGGATGTTGAATTGCCACCCATTTGTTATGACTTAGATGTTTAAGTTTCTTAGTGCTTTACAGCTTGTGTGTATGCATTAATAAAGCAACTCTTAACAGAAAAAAAAAAATAGAGAGGGCTGAAGAAAGGGTTCAAAGATATCCCCACACAGTTGTCTTGTTCCAGCGGGAAGAATTCATCTTGTGCCTCTGTACTCAGTCCCATTTTTTTCTTAGGGGTTATTTTTAAATAGTATACTTAAAAAAAACTTAGTTCACGAACCAAAAAGCATGAAAAGGGGTACAGATGCATAATGCTTCCTTCCACCCCTGCCCCTATCCATCCAGTACTCCCGACCGCTCCTAAGACAGGGGATAACACTTCTAGTTTCATGTAACTTTTAGGGTTTCTTGATACAAATAGAAGCAAGTGTAAGTTCTTTCTGTCTACCACCCTCCCCTTTTACACACAAAAATGGTAGCCCTCTATATACACTTTTCTGAACCTTGGTTTTTCAATTAATATGCCCTGGAGATTTTCCTATCATTTCAGGGATGATCTGCATTCATTTTTCCTAGCTGTATAGTATTCCATGATGTTGCTATGCTTTAACCAGTCCCACCTAATGAGCAAGTGTGTTGATTCCAATGCTTTGTTACTTGACTTTGTACATGCCTTTAATACAGGAATAAGTATATGTGTAGAATAAATTCCCCGACATGAAACTTCTAGGTCAAAGACTCTACCCCAGCTATATTTTCTAGACCACCTTAGTTACTTTTTATTGGTCTAGCTGAAATATATTTTGAAATAAATTAAGCTTTACTTTGGGTCACTGATTTTAATGACACACTGTGTGCTTGAACAGGGACTGAAATAGACATCTGCTGTCCTCGGTACTTTGCCCCTTTCCCACTGGCAGGCACACTAGTCCATATGGAAAAAGACAGTGAACCTTCCTCAGACTGTGTGGACTTTAATGAGACATGGGACCCTTCAGATTCATCATCTTAAAACTAAAAGAAACCAACTTAGGTCTTCCGAAAACCCTACTACACAAAGAACTGTCTCACAGAACATTACAATAGTAAACCTTAACATCTGCCAGGCCTGCCATGCATATTTTGTGATATGGTCTCCGGCATATAGCTCTGGAATCTATTAATTTTGTTCTTTTTCAAGGAAAACTTAATGTCTTCCTGGAACTGTCTGTTTAGAGGTTCTAAGTGTGGATGCCAGTCCAGTAGCATCAATATCACCTGTGAACTTGCTAGAAACGCAAAGTCTCAGGCCCCACCCTAGACCTGCATCAGACACTCTGGGGAGGGGTCCAGGAAGCTCTTAACAAGCTCTCTGGGTGACTGTGATGCACCCTATATTTGAGGCCCACTGCTTTAAAGAAGTAGCTGATTTAAAAAAAAAAAAAAAAAGGCTGTATCTCCACCCTTTTCAGAACTAAACAGCAACTCCAAGAAGAATAAACTTAAAACTGGTATGGTAGAGTTGCAGGGCCTTATTCCAAAAAAATAGAACATAAACTATTAAAAGCTCTACTTCTTCTCGCTTGTATCTCTTACCCCAGCAGCTTATCAGTCCAGAAAGACCGTGACAATGTGATACCAAGAACCTGCCAGGGAATCATTTTCCATCTAGTCTGAAGTGTGTGTGTTTCAAGGTTGATTTCCCATTTAGTATATATTTTAAAAGTAGATGAGAGGACGCAGATGCAAGAGGACTTCAGATTAACTTATTCCTGAAGTTATTAGAGGAAAAAAATGACCCACAAAACCCCTACTCTCTTCCACACGTTCAAAACCTAGTCTTTTATATTAGGAGATGCAAATGAAGACGCTTCCCATTCCTGAGTTTGAGGTAACAATCAATCAATTTTCTTACCAGGTCCATGTGCCAAACACAGCCACTTCAGAGGCCTCCAAACAGTCCCCTACTTACACAAAGGGCTTCTCTCCGGTGTGAATCAGGGCATGGCGGCTCAGGTGGTAGTCTCTGACAAACGCTTTGCCACACCCCTCGTGGTCACAAACAAAAGGTCTCTGGCAGGAAGAAAAGAAGAAAACGCATCAATTCTGCCCACATTAGTAACTCTAGTATTATTTAAAGGCCTAAAATGTCTAGCAGGCAGAGCCATGGGCTCTGTCTCCAGAGCTGGCTTCCACTAAGTGTTGGGCACCTGCTACACCAAAGCCAGACAAGGTTGTCCTGCACGAAGCCACATAACATGAAGGTCACAGCTTCTCAACAAAGTCCCCGCAGCACATTTGGTTCTGTGAATAGCATCTGTAAGAAGCGGACAGCACAGCATTGCCAAGCTGCTCCCAACCTGACACGCCACTTCAACTGCAACCCTGTCTTAAAGATGACTCATCTGCTATCAGCATGGCCTATGTGCACAGATCCCCACAGCATGTGAGGAGCCCCCCATCCCAAGCCTAGGGAAGAGGACATGCAGGTTCTCCCTCATCCTGGACAGGCCCTGCTAAGAGAATGCCTGGCACAGCTACAGGAAAATGTGTCACTCCTGAAAAAGCTCACAGCCCCACCTGCAACTACCACTTGGGACCCAATGGTTGGGTTCATTCTGAACCTAGAGGAAAAGCCAAACACGCCCCCCAAGTAGCCAGTTTTGTGTATTTAATATGGAAAATGTACCACCACGACAGTCCAAGAAGGAGGTACCAAGGCCCTAAATGGCAGTGCTAGTAACAAAGCAAGTGGACAGGAACACAGATGAGCTGTATTACTACAGGCAGATCCACCGAACTTTGCACAACTCCTGTCATGGGGCTTAATCAATATTTGTCAAATTAATCAACGTGTGAGATTTGGGACAACAAAGATAATGCCAAGTCTTTCAACCTGTATGAAGGAAACTGGTAGTGCCGACATGCAAAATATGGCACACATCTAAAAACTCTAATTTGCACATACTGATTATAGAGCCTAGAATCTGGGCGATAGGATGGGCAAGAGGCAGGACAGGGAGGCATAGCATAACGGATACAACTCGGTAGGACTGCCGAGAGAGAGCTGCGCAGTGAATAAAGTAGAGGGCAGAAGAGAAGCAAGTGAAAAAGGTCCATGAAAAAGAGGAAAAGAGCTCGAGAAGAAGGTCCCAAGGACAGTCAGCCTTCAAATGCTGGAGAGGGTAAGAAAATGGGAGCTATGAGGCCACATGGAGGAGGCGTGGCCCCAGTTAGGTCGGTGCTAGGAACAAAGGCAGGGACTGCAGGCCTCTGGCTTAAGAAATTAAGGGCCTCCAGCTGAGGCAGTGCAAGGCCTGGCTCTGCCCAAAACTGAGAAATTGGGTCAATTCCTTGGCCTCAACTGTCATCCTCCAGTCTACCTATTGCCTTCAAAATAAAACCCAAACTCCAAACCCATTTGTACTCTGGCCTACAAATGATCCCCCAGGCCTGCTTCTCCAGAGCTCCTCCTGTATGGTCCCACCCAATCACACCCCTCTGCCTCCCACCCCCAGGACCACAGGTTCTCCCTGCAGTTCTCTCTGCCGGGACTGTTTTCCTCTCAAATGTCTGCATGACTGGATCCTTTCCTTTTCATTCAGGTCAAGAGACAGGCCTTTCCTGAACACCCTCCAGCAGCCCTCGGTTTACTGCATCTCATTCCTACCTATTTCTTTGTCTGTCCTGCTTAAAGCATAAGGACGGTGACAACAGAAGTCTTGCCTGATTTGTTCACTGCTCTCTCTTCAGGGCTAGAATGGCATTAAGTTATGAAAGAATGAATGCACGCCGCTTGCAAAAAACACCAGTACTTAGAAGTTATCCTCCGTACCAGTTCCAGGAGGCAGCTGTCTTTTGGAAGGGGGACGTCCAACCGTGCCTATTTACAGATTTTGGGGAGGTGGTGACTGGCCAAGACTCAAGATAAAAGAAGGGGGAAAAGTTGCTCAGTAAACCCCGAGTCCGTGGCAGGGATATCTCGGTCCTAAAATTTGTCTACCTTTTCGGCTCCTTCCCTAACCTAGGGCATGGCTGGTTCGCCTCTGTGGTCCAAGGTGCCAAAACCGAACATGTTTTGCAAAGCCAGGCCTGCGGTCCTGCGCTCCCTGCCGTCCCCAGGCCGCTCCGGCGGAGCCCAGCTGGCGGGCCGCCGAATCACTAGTCCCTGGGCCTGGACGTCAGGCCCCTCCGCTGCCATGCCTTGGGCCTCGTTACCTCCCCTGTGTGCTTGCAGAGGTGCGCGTCTAGCTTCCAGGCCTTGTTGTAACTGGCGTTGCAGTCGGGAAAGGAGCAGATGAACCTGGTAGGGAGCGTGAGGGGCGGCGGGGCAGGGCTCTCGCCGGCAGCGATAAACGCATCGACGACGGTCAGGGATGACACCGCCTCAGAGACCGAGGCCGGCGGCTCCAGGGCGCCGGGGGCCAGGAGCTCAGCCACGTGCCGAGCCACGTGCGGGGAACCGGTGCGCGCGGCCCACGCCCAGCCAGGCGGTGACACGCCCGGACTTAACTTACTGTCCAGTCGCCGCACTTCCGGGATTGCGGCCACGGAGGAGCGGGACTGGGGCGCCGGCGCGCAGTAGCAGGCCACGCCCCGCGCGGGCGCCGCTTCGTTCAAGCTCCCGGAAGCACCGCCCAGGCCCGCGTTTGCGCATGCTCCGGAAAGCCCCTGACAGGCCTGCGCCCCTCCCACCCCGGGTGGGGAGTGGACGTAACGAATGAAAGACCGGGTCTTCCTGCACCCCTGCAAAAGGTTCCTCGACAGATTCCCCAGGTACTAATTAAATGTGACATATTTCCCGACCACCACCACCCTATTCAAAGTACTAATCTTGCAAAATTTAAACTATCTCGTTCTTACCGTGTTGTTGGTTTGTCTTCTTTATGGCTTCATTTCCTTGCATGAGCCGCTGCATGCTTCCTCAGCAAGACCCAGCGCAGTGCTTCCTAAACTTGGCTGCTCATTAGAATCACATGGAGATCTTTTTAAAATCCCAAGCCCAGAGCATACCCCGGGCCAACTAAATCACAATTTTGGGGGGTATGAAACAGGTGTCAGTAGTTTGGAAACTCCCCCCAGGATTCCAACGTACAGAAAAGTTTGGAAAAACCCCTCCGGTTAGGCCTTGCTGCCTAAAGTGTGCTCTGTGGACCAGCAGCATTGAAGCACAACCTCAGACCTACTTGAATCAGAGAGAGTGCCAGGTGATTTGACAGACATTAAAATTTGAAAAGCACTGTTCAGAGGCTTGAAAAAACAGTGGTGCATAATTTTATTTATAAGGACCACGTGATTAAAGGATGTCCCTGGACAGAGGATAACAATGAAAGGATGGATTGTCTGATATTCCAACAGGTTTGTATGTTTCACCTCCTGCATCATTACAATTCATTAAGCAAACCCTTGTCTGAATCTGATGAACAGGTCTTGGCAGAGAAGTGCAGTTTTGAAAACAAGACAGGGCCTAACAATCCTGAGCGGGATCCTCACGTCGTACTCACTTCTGAGCCTCAGTCTCCTCATCTTTACAGTGGAAACGATGATAACAACACCTATCTCGCAGGGTGACATGAGCACTGTGAGAGGGTGTCTGGGACATGTGTCTACCTGTTGCTTTCCTCTTTTGCTGTTCCAGCCCCTCTCCAAGGGTACAAGTCCCCGTACATCCCCTCCTACAGCTCCAGAATCTTTTCACACCTTAACAATGACTATCAATACCCACCTGTTGTAGTCATTTTTGGAATGAATGAGATTGTATTAATCTCCACCCTCTGTGCTAGGCCCATTTACCACCAACTTTTAGTTCTCCCAACAACTCTGCGTGTAAAGCTGCTAATAGGATCTAGGCCAGGCCTTTTTTCTTCTTTCTGGTTTTTTCCTGTGTACTGATCCATTGCCCCACCCCTTTCCTCTCTGCAGTTTACTCCTCAATGTGTTTTTCCAATGGCTCACATTTCTATATGATGAGTAGATATTTTTTCACTTGAACATCAAGCAATGACCTCAAACTCAACATTATTTGTAGCAATGTCACCATTTCCATCTGGCTATATCTTTTTCCCCCTTCCTCCCTGTCGACAGTTGCATAATTCTGGCTCCCAGTTGTGAAAACGTAGAACAGTGGTTCTCAACCCTGGCTACACATTAGATCACCCAGGAGCTTTTGAAAATGATGATGCCTGGGTCCCCACCCACACCAGTGAAATCAAAGTCCTTCATCCTTTTCCTTGCTCTGCCCATGCCTGGCCTGGCTAAATTGTACACCTGACCCGTCCATTCCCCTCCCACCCTCTGTCTACCTTTTTTTTGCTCTGGGCCTAGACACCTCAAACAGCCTCTCAGCAAGCCTTGAGGGGGGAGAGGGGGGGCATGGTTCCATCATGGCGTCAATGCAGAAACGACTGCAGAAAAAACTGTTGGCTTTGCAAAATGACCCACCTCCCAGGGCGACTTTAAATGAAAAGAGTGTTCAAAATTCAATTACACAGTGGATTGTAGACATGGAAGGTGCACCAGGTACCTTATATGAAGGGGAACATTTTCAAGTTCTATTTAAGTTTAGTAGTCAATATCCTTTTGACTCTCCTCAGGTCATGTTTACTGGTGAAAATATTCCTGTTCATCCTCATGTTTATAGCAATGATCATATCTGTTTATCCATTCTAACAGAAGACTGGTCCCCAGCGCTCTCAGTCCAATCAGTCTGTCTTAGCATTATTAGCATGCTTTCCAGCTGCAAAGAAAAGAGACAACCACCAGATAATTCTTTTTATGTTCGAACATGTAACAAGAATCCAAAGAAAACAAAATGGTGGTATCATGATGATACTTGTTGATGCCACTGTTCTCCTCCTAGCAGAAGATAGTCCTACTGAGAAACAAGCACTTTGATCATTCAGTCTTTGAACTTTAACCTTTGACTGGAAGTGACGTATAGGCAATGAAGACTACTTCCTTTTACTGCATTTTTACTCGTGTGCATTCTGGGCGCATGTTGATCGCTGGTTCAATCCAGGCAACTGACATGCTTTTATTAGTCATACAGTATTAATACAGGTGTCAGGAAGTGTCAAATATAATTCCATTTTTTATTTTTATTTTTTTAAGTTTTTGGAAAAGTTCCAGGTCCTCATGTTTTGTGCAATAACAATGACTTCCTTGGTGGTTCAGGCATGTTCATTGCCGGCAATGAACGTTGTAACAGGAAAAATTCTCATTAACTCCTGCCACCCCGTGATTAATGCATGATAGGGCCTATGAAATGAACTTACCTGTTATAGTGGGATTATAATAAAGTGAGGGATCCAGCATTACTTTGCAAAGTCACCCCAACTGTTTATATTTGGATTCTATGCACTGTGATCCTGAGGGTAACAGCATGAATTAACATGCATCTTTAAAAGGACTGTAAAGAAAGATCATTGCGTATTTATCGAATTGTATATATCTGCTGTCAAATTGTTTGACATGGAAGATTTTCAAGTAACATTGGCAGAAAGGTACAATCCCTATGGTGAAAATACATTCTTCGGTTGTATATAGTTCCTCAGTCTCTGAAGCAAAGGTATGAGTAATATAGGGTATGAATGGTTTAATCAAGGCTTTATTTTGGAAGTAAGAAAAATGGCAGTGATGATTAAACTGCTGCAGTCCATAATTTGGCCTTGTTGTTTGTACATTAGCGATTTTTCCGAGTAGACCCCACTCTGTTACTTCCCACTAGCCATCAGCATGAAAGCTACTGCCTAAACACTGTTTCATTTATTTATGTTTGGAAAACCCATACACATTTTTGTTTGCAATTTTGTTTCTTTCATTATGTCTTAAGTCAAGTTTGAATGTTACAATACTTTAATTGAAAAACTTTTGTCAAGTTTTTTCTTGTAAATTTTCTTTACTTGTAAGTATCATCTTGTCCTTCAATCCTGTATCCTAAAATAAGAAATACATTTTTGACAGAGGCTTAATGTTTAAAAAAACAACAAAAAAAAAACAACAGCCTCTCAACAAGGTTTCCTATCTTTGCATTCTTCTGCCTCTCATCTCTCCCACGTATGGCTGCCAGCATCATTTCCCTAAAACATCTGAGACTTTCTAGATTCAAGTTTGTAAGACTGGTATTTGCAAAGCATTTTTATTCCTCTTAGCCACGATTCCTACAATTCAGGTAATAGCACTCAGACAGTAAATGGGGTCCCTAGGCTCAGGCCCCCTCCAGGCTCCTTTCTACCCTGGGCACAATTCCAGCCCAGATCAAGCCGTTCTTCCTCCAAATAATAAGCCTTACCTGACTACTGCAGTCCCCACCCATCTTTTCTGCCTTTGAGTTTTTCTGGCCCTTTCTTTCTGTAGCACTGAGTAGACAGTCCTCAAATGTGTTGGGTTGTTTTTAACTAGTCAGGAATATAATTTAATATATAATTCCCCTGATCTTGGTTTAATCTCCCTAAGGGCATAGACTAGATCATATTCTTTTTGCATCCTTAGTAGCAAGGTGATTTGCACACATCAGGAGCTAACATTATTTGTTAGTTAAATGAACATAACCACGAGCCATTGTGTGAAATATTAAAGGTTTTACACAAATGTCTTCATCAAGGAATCTTTCTGTGCAAGGAACATAATCTCACTCAAACTAATCCACGTGCAAAAGGATTTAGTGTAAAGATTCAGGGGAATCTCATTGTACTTATTGCACAAAGGGCTCAGAGGATCAGCGTTGTCTGCACAGTCTGTTTCTCCCTATTTGGGTCAGCTGTCCTCCTTAGCCTCAGTCCTTTGCTCTCCAGGCATCTCTTAGACTATTCCATTCATTTCCTGTGTAAGTGTGCACCTGTGTGTGTGTGTGTGTGTGCATATATGTATGTGTGCACGTGTGCCTGCATGGGGTTGTGTGTCTTACTAACTCATGCATGCTTGCTTGCTAGCACTCTTCTCCCTCTCTCTCTCTCTCTCTCTCTCTCTCTCTCTCTCTCTCTGTCTCTCTCTCTCTCTCTCTCTCTCTCTCTCTCTCCTCACTCTCCTCCGCTTCTCCTTTCTCTCCCAGGTTCCAGTCCCTCACAGTCCCAGGCCTCTGATCATCCTTGCTTGTCTCTCCATCCCCTCTTGTCTCTGCAGATCAGCTTCTTCTATACGTCTCAGAGTTTCTCCCCATGACTGTTTTTCCAAGGGTTTTGGATCAACCCAAGCAGCCCTGACCTTACATAATCTGGCCCCTTAACTCCCCATGGCTAATGACTCCTGAAAGAGAGTCTTCAGCTCACTTGGGGTTCAGGCTACTCCCCAAGCTCAAGCAGCTTCAGCCTGGAAGGGATAGGACTGTGGGTCCTGTGGTTTGACCTAGACAGTACTCTGGTATGCTTGTTCTAGCTAGCAAATTGCATCCATTCACCTCAGCTTTGCATCTGCCCTTTGCCATGCGACTTCATTCCTCCCATAAAGGGAGCTGAAGATCTTTTCTCTTTCCTGGACTCTAAATTCAGCTATGTGACTTGCTTTGATCCTCTAAGTTGGAAGTGACAGCATGCCAGTTCCAAGCCTACACAAGAGAACTTGTATGTTGCTCCCTGCCATTGCCATGAGGAGGACAATTCTGCTATAGCTTGTCCAAGGAAGGAGAGAGACATGAGGAGCAAAGCTGACTCATCCTGGCTAAGCCCAGCACAGATCAGTCAGCCTGCCATCAGCTGACTCTCAGCTAGTCCACACATCTGTGACAATCAAAGATTGGAAGCCATTGAGTTGTAGGATGGTTTGTTATGCAGCAATTTTGTGGCAATAGCTAACGAGTAGTAGCTTCGCTGGCACTTCCCCTCAGCCAACAAACATGCTTAAGAATCTCATCTTCCAAACAGACTCCCTTATGTCCCTGTGCTTCTCCTCTCCTTGGCATGATTCCACTTTTTCTCTTCACAGCCAGGTAACTGAAGAGAATAGTGAGTGTTCTTCTTCCTCTCTGCCTATTCACGCTTTCATCATCACTCTCATCTTCATCACTTAGGTAAGCATCCACAAAAACAGAGCAAATAGTGGAGACCCCCTCACCCTGCTTCAACAACCATCAATTTTGTTTTGTTTCATCTGACTGCCTCCATTCCCAACTTTTCCCACCTTTTTCTTTGCTGGAGTATTTTAAAGCAGTTTCCTGCAGGATCTTATTTTGTTGGATTATCTCATTTTGATAATTAGCTCTAACAGATTTTATATATATATATATATACACACACACACACACACACACACACACAGAGAATGCTATATAATCTTCAATTTATTATCATACCCAGCAAAATGAACAATTATTCCTTAAAATCATCTAAAACCCACAGACCCTCAAACTCAGCATATTCAAAACTGCTCTTGAGCAGGCTGAGTGGCTCATTGATTAAGAGTTGGCTTGGGACCGAGAGCTCTGAGCAGCAGGGCCACCGGTTCGGATCCCACATGGGCCAGTGACACTGCGCCCTCTACAGCTAAGGCGGTGAACAACAGCTTCACCTGGAGCTGGGCTGCCTTGAGTTGCAGGCGGTGGCATAGGCTGCAGTGGGTCTGCAGTGGGCTGCCATAAGCTACCATGAGCGGCTGGCAGCCAGTGTTAACTGCCAAAAAGCCTTCTTGAGAGGCTGTCCAATAGCCGGCTACCGATCTGCCTCAGCCAGGAAGAGCGCAGTGATCACAATACCAACATGGGCCAGTGAAGCGATGTCCTCCACAACTAGACTGAAGAACAAAAGGACAGCAACTTGTCTGTTCCCCTTCCCCGATTCCCCAACGCTGTTCCCTCCCTCAATTCTCCAATAAAATCTTTTAAAAAAAACAAACAACACAAAAACTGCTCTCCTCTTCTCCTCCCCTCCTCCAGAGTCTTCTTTTTTAGTTCAACCCTAAAGCCGAGAACCCATTAAACTATACCCAGATACCTGACCCACAAAAACTGTAAGAGAACAAATGTGTGTTGGTTTAAGCCACTAAGATTAGGGGTAATTTGTTATGCAACATAACCAACACATAAAGTCAGTCTTTCACTACACAAAATAACTAGACCTCGTGGTCCTGAACTCACACGAAGGAGAGAGCATCTGAACAAAGAGGATACTGATGGGATGGGGGACTCTGACACAGCGTCCGACCATTATACAAGCTTCTTTCTAACCAAAAAATCAGGTACATAGTGTGACTAGAATGAGTGTGGTTATGGTGATAACAGGACATAATAGCTCAAATGTGGACAGCCCTGGGAGATCTTCAAAGTGGCCACTTTAATCCCAAATTTATCTCCCAATGTCTACTTCTCCCAGATGGGTCCACCACAGCCAAGGTGGTTAGCTAAGGCAGTTGTCCTTGTGGGTCAGCAAGAAACCAGGACATCATCCATGAAACACACCTATAACTTAAAGAAACGGAGAACCACGTGCTCTTATTTTACAGATGTGCAATAGAAAGATCTTTGGGTTGGGCCCCAATTGCCACTAACTACTTAAGTATGACTTTGGGCAACTCTTCCCAGCCCGGCTTTGTTTCATCTGTAAAATAGGAGACAACTCTTCCTCCCTCACAGAGTTTCTATGGGGATCATGTATGATCGGCATGTTAACCTCTCTGTGCCTCAGTTTCTTCATCACTTAACTGAGGACAAGAGTACAGGTTGTGAGGATTAAATGAGAAAGCACATGTAAAGCACATAGCTGCAAATGCGTGGCTCCAAGGAATTGCCTGCAGATGTCAGCTCTCGTCACCATGGTTACTCTGACCTGTGGGAACACCTTCGCCAACCACAAGTGTTTTACGTCTGTAAACTGTGACTGACACTAGGTTCTCAAATATTGGCTCAAACACAAAGTGAATGAATGGATGAGCACTATTACATTGGTCAAGATCAGCCCAAAAGGGGCTGGAAAACAACAGTTAAGAAAAGTTCCCTGCACTTCGCCTCAGGATTGAGCAAGAGAGATTCCACCCCTCGGCTACATTCTCCACAGAACCCCCACCCCACCCCTTGGGGAGCCTCCAGGAGTTACCGATTGTCTAATTGCCCAGTTGGAGAGGTCCCCCAGGCTGTCCCCTGTATCTCTGTCCTTGCTCCCAGCTGTACTCTGTAGGAAGATTTCTCGCCTTCTCTCAGCATCTGTTCTTTGAATGTCCCCCATGTGGACCTTTGGAATCACCCAGTGGACAGTGCCTAGACCCACTACCACTGTTCTTGGTTGTCCACTCATCGTGCAATTTGGCCTGGCTTCTCTAATTGGCCCTCCTCTCACTTCCGTCTGATTATCACATTTTCCTGAGTTATAATGGCCCCACCAGGGGACTGCCACAGGCCTGTGCTTAGTCACTCCCACCTGCTTCAAACCCATTTAGTCTGGAGCAGCCAGATTCCATCTAGTAGCCAGGCCTGATTGCTCTCTGATTACCAACAAGGTCAGGGGCTGGAATGCTACCTTTCTAGTCACGTCCTATGCAAGACTTTTGTGTTTGATAGTTTCCTCTGCCAGCTTTTGTCACTTAGCCATCAGACACACTGGCAGAGCTGAGCAAACATCGTTAGGGAATATTTGCCCCATTTATAGATGGCTTCTTGGTTTACTTTAGGGGTAGAATTCACCCATCCCTCTTCAGTCTCACTGCCACCATCTTGGTCCAGTCTGCC